AGGCAGTAGTCGACCAACTTCGGGAAGAGTACAAGCCTTCAGAATTCTCTGCAACGATGGTGGACGGCAGCAAGTTACCAGTACACGGCGAAGCAGTGCTACACCTACAAATTGGACCACTGCGCTGGTGACCTGCTCTCCCCATCACCAACATCAAAGGACTTGACTTGATCTTCGGGCGAGACTTCCTGAAACAGTTCAACCCCGAGATCAACTGGGTAAACCGCACCGCAAGCATCTACAACAAAAGAAGGAGAGTCCAACTACCCAACTGGGACGATACATGAGATATCCCAGTGGAGACACTCGCACGATTCGAGAAGGACGTGAAGCGAACCGACACCGGGTTCCTGGCGATAGCAACAAAGGTGGAAACCGACGGAGAGAAGACTGCGGAACCTCCAGGAAAAATCAAGAAATTACTGAAGGAGTTCCAAGACATTCTCCCCGACGACCTCCCGAACGAGCTACCACCATACCGAACACACCAACACGAGATCGTGGAGGAACCAGGTTCGAAGCCGACCTTCCGAGCACCATATCGGCTCAGCCCGACCGAGCTAGCCGACATGAAAAAACAGATCGAGTATCTCCTAGTCGAAGGACTCATCCGACCATCTACTTCGCCATACGGTGCCCCAGTATTCTTCACACCGAAACCGGACGGGAGCCTGCGCATGTGCATCGACTACCGAGCTCTCAACAAGCAGATCATCAAGAATAAGTATCCGATACCACGGATCGATGACCTGCTTGACGAGCTTCAGGGAGCAACGGTATTTTCCAAACTGGATTTGCGGTCCGGATACTGGCAGATACGAATGGCAGACAACTCTATCCACAAAATTGCTTTCCGAACTCGGTATGGATCGTACGAGTATTTGGTCATGCCGTTCGGACTCACCAACGCACCTGCAACATTCCAAGCCGAGATGAACCACATCCTACGCCCACTTTTGGACGAGTGCGTGGTAGTATACCTGGACGACATCCTCATCTACTCACGCGACATGAAGCAGCACGTCGAACACCTACGACGCGTCTTCGAAGTTCTTCGACGGGAACTGTTCTACGTCAAATTGTCCAAGAGCGAATTCGCCCTTGAGAAGGTCCAATTCCTAGGGGACATGGTGAGCGCTCAAGGATTTCACGTCGATCCCAAGAACATCAAAGCCGTATGTACGTGGAAGACACCCGAGAACGTGAAGGAGTTACAACAGTTCCTAGGCTTCGCTAACTACTACAACAGGTTCGTGCCACAATACGCGAAGATCGCCGCACCACTCACGAATCTGCTGAAGAAGAACACGCCCTACAAATGGGAGTCGAAGCACCAGGAAGCCGTGGAACAGCTGAAACAAGCACTCACGTCCGCACCAGTACTTATCTTGCCAGACCCCGAACGTGACTACGTCATCGAAGCTGACGCCAGCGACCAGGTAGTGGGAGCAGTCTTGATGCAAGACCAGGGGAATGGACTGCAACCAATCACCTACCTCAGCAAGAAACTGCACGGGGCATAACTCAACTACCCGATACACGACAAAGAGGCCCTGGCTATCATCATTGCCTTCAAAACGTGGAGATGCTATCTCGAAGGACGCAAGGCAACAGTCTACACCGACCATTGCAGCCTGAAATATTTGAAGACACAACAGAATCTCTCCAAGTGACATGTCCCGTGGATCGACTTCCTCGAGACACACTTCCACTACGACATCGTGTACAAGCCCGGCCACAAAAACAAAGCGGATGCCCTTAACCGGCCTGCACACGTTGGCGCTATCCAAGTTGAGAGGATGAATCCACTACTCAAGGGACTCTTCATCTACGGGTACTCCATCGACCCCAAAATTCCCTTGGCAGAAAAGCGACATCTGCTACAGTGGGACAACGACATTGCGTACCGAAAAGGATCAACAAAGGTCTGGGTACCTAACTACCCTCCTTTGCGCCAGTTACTACTCGAAGAATACCACGACGTTCTATACGCTGGACACTTCGGTAGCAATAAGACGCTGACCGGTATCGCGAAGCACTACTACTAGCCCCACTTGGCGGAAGATGTTCAGAAATTCGTCACCTCGTATGATACATATCAAAGAATGAAGAGTAGCAAGCAGAAGAAGGCGGGACTGCTACAGCCTCTTCCTGTCCCAGACCAACCATGGCAAGTGGTTAGCCTGGATTTCATCACCGGGTTACCACCTACCACCAATGGTCATGACGCGATTCTCGTCGTCATCGACAAGTTCTCCAAAATGGGGCACTTCATCCCGACCCACACGAGAGCACGCACCGAGGAGACAGCACAACTCTTCGTACGCTACATCATCTCACAACATGGCATTCCAACCACTCTCATCTCCGACCGAGACCCCAAGTTCACCAGCAAATTCTGGAAGGAAATAATATCTCAACTCGCGACCAAACTTGCCATGTCATCCGCCTACCATCCGCAGACAGACGGACAGACCGAGCGTCTCAACCAGATTGTTGAGCAACTCCTCTGCGCAGCATGCAAGGACGAGATCTCCAAATGGGACTTGCACCTGCCCGTACTGGATCCACACATGATCTTCGTCGGACGCCAACCGCCGCCGCCGCCGCCCGTCCTCGTCCAGAATGAACCCGAGTACGAGGTCGAGTCCGTGCTTGCACACCGCCGTCGTCGGAATGGCACCGTGGCGCTTCTTATTCGTTGGAAGGGTTATGATCCTTCTGAGGACAATTGGGTACCTGAGTCCGACATGGGTAACGCCCGTCGTCCTCTGCATGACTACCTTGTCAAGCAGGGTGTTACTTCTACCACCCAGAATTGAGGGGGGGAAGTGTGAGAGTACGACCCCGTTACACCCCTTGTCTCTTCTTCTCTTTCCTTTCTATTTCACCTCTCTTTTTATCTCATCTTATTTGGTTTCCTATTCTCCATTTTCCCTTATCCTTTGGTTTATCCTGTTATTATACTGTAATTACACCGACCAGGCTTGGGATGTACTGGCGCGCTCTATCTAGCGTAATCCTGCCATAATCCCTTAAAGCCAATAGCCTCGCGTGGCTATACGCAGGGTGATTCTATATTCTAGAAGGGTCTATTCCCTTGGATAAGATAAACCAGGTTAGCTGATGTACTCTGGAAGTATAAAAGCGCCTTGTATCAATCGATAGTGCAATCTTTCCTCGACACATTCGATCCTATGACAGTGACTACGAGCTTCACTCCCTCGACTTCTCCACTGCGTTTCTTCAGGGCAGTCTACACGAGCAGGTCTACCTGCGCCGTCCATAGGGCTTCACCGGTACCTTCCCCCCTAGGACTCAGTGGCTTCTCAGGCGCCCAGTCTACGGCCTGCGCCAGACTCCCCGCGAGTGGCACGACACGCTGCGTGCCACGCTAGCAGACCTGCAGTTCTTTCCGTCCTCTGCTGACCCCTCACTTTTTGTGTGTTCTGGCCAGGCTCCGTTCTACATCCTTGTCTACGTAGATGACCTGGTCTTCGCTACTGCTGACAGGGACGCACTGGCCTCCGTGAAGGCCGAGCTGCTGAAGAGACACACCTGCACTGACCTTGGAGAGCTGCGTCACTATCTTGGCCTGCACATCTCCAGGGACAGAGCATCACGCACCATCACTCTAACTCAGTCATTCTTGGTGCGTCAGGTCCTTCAGAGGTTTGGTCTTCAGTTCTCCTCCGCACAGCCCACACCTCTACATATAGACCATGGGCTCTCTGCTCCCGTTCCTGAGGAGCCAGTAGAGTCCAGCGGCCCCTACGCAGAGCTGGTGGGTTGCCTCATGTACCTGATGACTTGCACTCGCCTAGATCTCGCATACGCTCTCAGCATCCGGGCTCGCTTTGTGGCCACAGGCAGACACCGACCTCAGCACTGGTCGGCCGCTAAGAGGGTTTTGCGATATCTAGCAAGTACATCGGGCATGGGATTAGTGCTTGGAGGACGCGGGCCAGTGGTCCTCACTGGGCACACAGACGCTTCTTGGGCAGACGACTCTGAGAATCTCAGGTCGTCTCAGGGCTACTGTTTTAGCCTTGGGTCGGGTGCTATCTCTTGGAGATCCACTCGCTCGTCGTCTGTTGCTCAGTCCAGCTGTGAGGCTGAGATCTACGCCGGTGCCATGGCGGCACAGGAGCTCCGCTGGCTGACCTTCTTGCTCACAAACTTAGGTGAGCGGCCTAGCTCTGCCCCGGTCCTGTACGCTGACAACAGGGCCATGATTCTCCTGTGTCAGGAGCCTCAACTTGAGGGCAGAGCGAAGCATACACAGCTGCGGCCTCCTGCGCGAGCTACAGCAGCGTCGCCAGGCCCGCGTAGTTCACTTGGCCTTAGGTGCCAACACAGCTGATATCTTTACTAAGGCGCTTGCGCCTAAAGATCATCAGCGGCACTGTGTACAGCTTGGTCTTGTTCCTGTAGCTTCTCACTTGTTAGGACCCTGATTGTGTACTCTCTACTATATATATCTGTCTGACTGGCCTTGTGGTCTCACCTTCGGTGGCTGGACTAGTAGTGCCGTCCTGGCTTGCATTAGTCTTGTTTGTACTCTTGCTGACTGATCTCCGGACCCGTGCCTCAGTGGTTGGACTAGTAGTGCCACCCTGAGCTGTGTGCTTCTTGCTTAGCACCACCCCTTCTCTAGCCTAAGGGGTGTGTCAAATTATACATATGTTGTATGTAGAAGTTATAGGCTAGCCTAGGTGTGTGCTTCTAGTGAGTACAACCCCAACAGGAATATGTTCTAGGTTTCTCACACTAGTCAATCATTCTAACATTCTAACAGGTACCACTAGAATTTCAGTCTCTCACCAACATACCTAAGCCCACTTCTTATCCTAGCACACCAGGTGTTATAAGTGTAGCCACCCAAATTACTGTAAAGGAGATGGTCTCTAGCCTCTATAGAATCACGCATGCACCAATTACGGCGCTTGGCACGTGCCGATAAAAACAGCACAGATGCCTCACAGCCCGAAATGCATCCAGCCATTCGTTGTCCTCGCCTATGTTCTTGCAGGTACTTCCCCGCAGTGCGCCGTATACCTTCAGCAGTCGCACGCCATCACTCACAGCAGCAGCAGCAGCAGCAGCAGCAGCAGCAGCCGCAGCAGCTTCTTCGAGGTCCCCTAAAATGTCCCAGGGCAAGATGCAGTGGCCCGAGCTCGTGGGCTTGAGCGGGGAGGAGGCGAAGCAGAAGATCGAGGCGGAGGGCGGCGGTCTTAAAGTGCAGGTTATACCGCAGAATTCGCCGGTCACGCGCGACTATCGCTTGGACCGCGTGCGCGTGTTCGTGGACGAGCAGGGGGTCGTGTCTGATACGCCGCGCACTGGATGACATGGCAGGCGCGGAAGGCGGAATATGCATGCCATCGTGCTGCTCCTGTCGTTTGTGTGACGAGCTTTATGCACCATCCTCCTCCTTTTTAGGGGTGGCGTCCGTCTGAGCTGTTCTCGAGGGCTCCTGTCGGTTTGGGAAGGGCTCTTCTGTCAGGGTTTCAAGAATATACGTCGCTTGTTGAGTGGTGCGCATCCGTTTCATCCCCCCTGCATAAATAGGAACCATCAATACCCCCACTATTTGGATCAGGTTGGGAGTTGGTACCACTAGAATTTCAGACACCACCAACATACCTGCTACTGCAGTACCCGTCATGTTACTTTCCTGCCTTTTGCAATGTCAGGCATTTCATATGCTGATGTGTCCCTTTTGAAGTGTACATGTTTGTAAAAATGCTACAGGCATGTGCCCATTCGCAAATAGGAGATTACTTCGAACATTGGAGATACATTTCAAGCAGACATGAATATATTCATATATTCATGCGTGAGACCAGTCAACACAAAGAAACAACATCCCCGAGTCAATATCGAGAACGAGGTCGCAAATCAGGACCACCTCCCGCATTCCTCCATTCTGCTACATATCAGTTTTTTAGGCTTTCCACCTCCCTCACACTGATACCTTCCACCGCCTGCCAGTCGCCCTGTGAATCTCAATGCTCACAGCCTCATCCATCTTATCAAGGACGAGCAGCTCCTAGATCCCGTGCTTTCCTGCGCAATCGCCGACGTATTTCGGCTGGAGATCTGCTTCCTGCGATGGGTACGAGATCCCGCACGATCCATGCGCGCGCTACTCTGCTATATCTAGTCTGTTCCGTACCTTTCCCCGCACCTGATGCGAAATCAGCTCAGCGGAGCGTGTGCGCGTCGCGGCCTGAAATCCGAAGACTAAATTATTAAAAGTCACCAGCTGCTCCCGCATGACCTGTCGCATTGCATTGCATCCCTCTCCATGCCGCAACATACCCTTCCTCCTCCCCCCATCCCCACTAACTTTCCGACATTGAGACCTCTCCATCTTTGTGTCTTCCAAGCCACCCTAATTTCCACCTGGCCGTACACAACCCCCCCCACTTCTCCCCCCTCCCCTCCCACCCCCCTCTTCCCCCTTTTCCCCCACCCCCTCTTCCCTCCTCCTCTCCCCCCCCCCCTTTTTCCCCTTCCCTCTCCCCCATTGACCCTTCCCCCCGGTCCCTGTTTCCCCTCGCCAGCCCCAGCAGTCGCTCAGCCCGCAGCAGCCGCGCGGAAGCTGACGTCACCGCAGACGTCAGCGCTGTACGCGGTGATCCTGTTCCTGATCGTGCTGTCGGCGCAGCAGGTCAACCGCGCCACGCTCGCCTCCTCCAAGGCGCTCACCATCGTCGGCGGCTTCATCGGCGCGCTGCTCTTCCTGCTAGCGCTCACGGTACGCTGGGGCGCGCCGGTGGGTGTTTCAGTCGATCGGTGGGTATGGCAGTCAATGGATGGGTATCTTACCGGATTAGTGGGGCATTCCCCTTCGTCGACGCGCTGCTCTGACTGCTCGCGCTCAACAGTCGATCGGTCGATCAGTCGGTCAGTGAGGTATTTCAGTCGATAGAAGGGTATTTTGTTGGATAAGTGGGTTATTCCCCTTGTTAACGCGGAATGATCCTGGAATTTGTTGCGATGATAGCATGCGTAAGATCTCAGGCGATCGCGCTATGTTGGATTTGCGTTTGATCCGAAACGGCCGTTCAGTGGGGATCGTCCGGAGCACCACTCATTCATTCATTCCAGTGCACCTTGCTCTCGACGCTGTGCATCCGTAACCGACGCGTTCCAAAGGTGAAGCAGAATCAAGCCACCCACACCTCTGCGCTGGTCGCAGCATTCACGCGCACAAGATACTAACTCGCTCCTCCCGCTATTGCGAGATTTCACTCTCTCCCACCTCTCTCCCACCTCTCTACCACCCCTTTCCCCCCATCTGCTTGTACCCGCCACAGCACCGTATACTCCCTCCATCACATCCTTCTACAATCACCCGCTTATCCTACAATGATCACCTGCTTATTGCTCTTTAGTCACCTACTATCCTTCTAAAATTCCCACTATCACCTGCTTTTCCTGTGTCACATCTCTCCATGGTTTCCTTTCCTGCTTGTGCGTCCCTGTGCAGTTCTTCAGCAACATGCAAGAGGCCATGGGAGCCAGATCCGGATGGGGCGTTGGTACGTCTTAGCTTCTCGTTCTCATTCCCCCCACTGCTCGCCTGTGCTTCTCTCTCCCCGTCTCTCTCCACCTTCCCCACCGGCTCCCTTGCTCTCTCCCCCCCCCCTCCCCGATTCCCACCCATCCCCACCCATGTCCCCTTGATTTGCTGAGTCTCCCCATGTCTCTCTTATCTCCATCCGTGCTTCTTCCTGTCCCTTGTTTATCGTTGCTCTCTCTCCCAAACTCCATCCCACTTTACTCCCAACTTTCCTCCTTCTTCATCCCTCGTTTCATCCCTCTTTTCCGTCCCCTTCTCTTCCCCTTTCCCCCTGCCCCTCCCCCCCCTCCCCCCCCTTTCCTCTCCCACCCCCCACCCAGTGTTTCTGTCTCTCTTCATCGCCACAGTCGCTGCTGCTTCAGTGCACGGTGTCTGTGCCACCACATGGTGAGATAGTAGTAATGCCACTACCTGGTGAGGTAATTCCTTAGCTGTACGTGCGTTCATCCACCCATTATCCCGTGTGTGCCGCTTTCTTCGTTGATGAAGCCACTAAACCAACCAGCCTCCGCTCCTCTCTCTGTCAGTGGTTTTGTATCATTCCAGCTGGTTGCGTCCTCCTGGTCATCCTATGTGGTCCCTTTTCATGTTCTCTCCTCATCTGACCTACCCCCCATCTCTTCCTGCTTCCCCTCCTAATGGTCTCCTTTGCCTGCCTGGCAGCATTCTCTTCTCTGCTGGCCTGCTGTTTGAGGTGCAGCGGGTGTCCGCCGCTGCTTACCCCTCCGCTGATGCCAAGAAGAAGAATTGAACAGAGCCATGGAGTCAATGGTGATGATCACAGGGCATGACTGACAGGGCACGCACACCGGTAGTACATGTTTTGACCATGAATTCAGATGGCAGACAGCTGGGGGGAAAAGCAATGGAAAGATATTCACCACTGGCTTATCACTGGAAGCCGTAAAGAAATACTGCCTTTGTTCTTATTGTTGGATAAGTCGAACATGATATAACCTCTTACAATCACGCAATCACCATACACTGCTGATTCGAATGTTCTGGTGATCTCTAAATTTGACCAACCTATACTCGCCCTAAGCTGTTGACTTACCTGGCGCAAAGAGGAAGCCAACTGAAAATCGCATTGCTGAGCATTGTCGCATTCATCGCTCACCCACCCCCCCCTCGCTGACACCACATCGCACCGCGTCGCATCAGGGTCGTCGTCTCGTCAGTCCCAAATGCGACCGCACGTCGCCCTGGTCAATTCAATGTCCAGCCGAACGCCCAAATTTTAGCACCGACGCGATTCGGCAGCCCTCCCTCCCTCTCTCCCTCCCTCCCTCCCTCCCTCCCCGCCTCTCCACCTCGACCACCCCGGTCAGGGGACTGACTGAGGTCCACTCGAGCCTCGACTCAACTTGAGCTGAGCAAGCCCTCCCCCACTCCCCCAACACCCGTCCGAAACGGCTCTTGTCAGCCTGCCTGCCAGCATAGAAGCATGCTCTGCTCCAGCTGCTGCTGAAAAGGGGGGGTTAGAGGGAAGGAAAGGGAAGTCTGGGTTGGAGTCCGAGCGCATGGCATCACATCGCATCACATCGCATCACATAGCATCACAGCACACGGCATGGCGTGGCAGGCAGCAACGCCGCCGCGCTGTGCACGTCTCGTCTGCGCGCCCTTTTCGTACCTCTCCCACCCTGTCCGACTTGAGACGTTTCCGTACTTGTTATCTCCCTGCATACACGGCACCTTCCAGAACCACGCGAACGCTGCCTCGACGGAACAATAAAGAGCGGACGGCGACCCAGAGGTTTCTGCTCCCTTGGCGGACCAACACTGATTTCCCAAACGGATAGATACCCTTCGAGGAATCGCCGCACCTCAAGGGTGATTTCAGACCGCGAATTCAGACCTCAAGCGTTGGGTAACGCGACGCCCACTCGCATCCGGACTTTGGGTACAGCTACGGCTTTCCTCCCCCGCATCCGTATCCCGACATTTCCTGAAGTACCATTCTTCCCTCGTCCGAGCTCTGCGCCGCGCTTGACGCAGAGGAATCGAAACGCCGTAGAGCGACCATCGTCACAAGTTCCTGCGGCGGGCGCCAGCCGCCGCCGCTGTTGCTTCTGCTGTTGCTGCTGCTGTTGCTGCTGGTAAAGAGTCGCCATCAGCACTACCACTGCGAGTAGCAGCGTCTCTATCAGTCGATTTCTTTTCGAAGCGGAAGCCTTCCGCTGGCGCGGCTACGGGACGTCACGCTCGCTTGTAGCATTCGGCTAGGAAAAACTGCTATTTATTCTAGGCTAAATCGTACTAATCCCCACGTCGAACCCTCTTCGATCGGGCTACCGGCAAGGATAGTAGGACGGGCACTGGTGCGGCATAACTTATCCCTGGCGCTCGCGCCTCGGCTCACCCTTAGCCGCGATCGCACCGCCACCAGCTAGCACCGCCTCGTCGAACCACCGCGCGCGCCGCTGGAAGTTCCACCATGCCACGTGTCGCCTTACCCACGCGGCGCCCTCCCGCAACATCTGCAGGGCGGGTAGTTAAATTCGCCTTGCTGGTTCTCGTAGTTACTAATGTCCTAGTTGCGCCCCAGTTCCTGGTTCCGGCTGAAGCAGCGCGGAAGAAGCCGTGGGTGGGCGTCAACCTGTCGCTCGGCCTCATGTCCAAACCGCTAGACGTCAAGACGGCCATCGCGACCGTCAAGCAGCGGGGGTTCGCGGCCGTCAAGACGTTCTACCCCGTGCCTGAAGTCCTGTCCGCCCTCGCAGGTGCGCCGCATTCACCCGTAACAAGGCCCTTGTTAGTTTCACCCCCCTCCTTCTCCCTCCCCAGCCCGACTCCCCTCTGGACTGCAGCAAACGCACCTGGTTCACCCTCTCCTTCCGCTGTGCCTCGCGCCCCCCCAGCGTCACTGTGCTTTCTTCCCCCCTTCCCTCCCGCCTCCCGCCTCCCGCCTCTCGCCCGCGACGTCTCCGCGCCTTTCTGCGGTTTTATGCGTGCCTCTCACATTCTGTTGATATGTCTCCAATCAGATTCGCTCCATGGTATCAGAGTGTCCCCATGAGCGCCCACCCACCTGCCGCCGCGGCCTGCCACCTTCCCTCCCCAATCTCACCTGTCCTTCCCTTCCTTTTCCAGCTTCCTCGGGCTCTCTTCTACGTCCGTTTCTCCTCTCGCTCCTCTCCCCTCGTTCATGGACCTCCGCTCACGTTTCCCCTCACTCCCCTCTTCCCGCTCCCCTTCCCCGCGTTCTCCTCACGTGCAGGCACGCGGCTGTAGCTGATGACGTCGGTGCCCAACGACCGGCTGTTCGACTTTTTGGCAAGAGCAGCTCACCTGCTGCCCTCTCCTTCCTCTCTCCTACGAAGCTCTTCATTCGATGTCCGACTCCCCACTATTTCCCCCCACTCCTCTCCTCCTCCCCCCCTCCCCCACGACCCCCACGTGCAGGCACGGGGCTGCAGGTGATGACGTCGGTGCCCAACGACCGGCTGTTCGACTTCGGCAAGAGCGACGCGGCGGCGCTGGGGTGGCTGGACGAATACATCGTGCCGCACACCGGCCGCGGCACCAACATTATCGGCATTGCGGTGAGTGTACGCAGGGAGGGGGGGGGGGGAGAAGAGCGGTCGGTGGCTGGCGGGGAAAGTGAGAGAAGGGGGATCGCGGCGGCGCTGGGGTGGCTGGACGAGTACGTCGCCGTGCCGCACGCCGGTCGCGGCACCAACATGATTAAAATTGCGGTGAGTGTGCGTAGGGAAGGGGGGAGGTGGGGCTGGCTGCCAGTGGACCACTACATCGAGCCCGACGGCTCGAGCACACCGGGCATGGCACGAGCAATATTGGCATCGCAGTCTGTGCGACAGCGGGTGGCTGGACTTTGCGAGTCGACTCGAGAGTCTATTTTTGAGGCGCCTCAAAAATGGACTTTGGGAGTCGACTCGAAAGTCACCTCGGGGACGGGGTACTCGCTGCTGCTACTACTGGTGGTGGTAGTAGCGTAGTGGTGGTGGGAAAGGGGCTCGCGATGCAATGCGCGTGGCCTTGCGAGAGAGAATCATGCACAGGGGGGTCAAAGTGGTGTACCCGCGACGCATGGGGACAAGTCCACCCCCTCCCCCCTCCCTCCCCCCCTTCCCCTTCTCTCCCCGCTCCTGCAACCCTCCTCCCCTGCTTCCTCCTCCCCTCCCGACGCTTCTTTCCTGCGTCCCCCACCCCCACCCCCCCTCCTCCTCCTCCCCCCCACCCCTTGCTCAGTTGAGCAACGAGCTCATGGGGCCGGGCACGGGGTTCACGCTAGTGGTCCCGGCGATGGAGGCCTTATACTGCGCGCTGAAGACGCCCGGGCTGCACTGGCGGATTAAAGTGGTGCACCCACAGCACATGCGGGCAAGTCCCCCCCCCTCCTCCTCTTCTCCCCCACTCCCGCAACTCACCTCCCTCGCTCCCTCCCCTGCGTCCTCCTCCCCTCCCGCCCCCATGTGCCCCCCGTCCCCACGCCCGTGCTCAGGTGGGCAACGAGCTCATGGGGCCGGGCACGGGGTACACGCTAGTGGTCCCGGCGATGGAGGCGCTATACCGCGCGCTGAAGACGCGCGGGCTGCACAGGCGCATCAAGGTGGTGCATCCGCAGCACATGGGGTTTCTCGCCAACACGTACCCGCCGTCCAAGGCCGTCGTGGACCCGCTCTATGTGGGCGAGATGAGCAAGATGCTCGCGTTCCTCAACAGGACAGGTGAGGTGGGGGGAGGGGGAGAGAGGGCCGGACTGGGGAGGGGAATGTGTTTTGAGTCGAGTGGAAACACACTCGCCGTCCAAGGCGGTCGTGGAGCGTCTATATGTGGGCGAGATGAGCAAGATGCTCGCGTTCCTCCTCCACCGCGCAGGTGAGGGTGGGAGGGGGACGCGAGAGTACGGGTTGACAGTGGGCTGGTGGGGAGATCGACAGGATGCTGGAGGGCGCGGCACCAAGGGCTTGTGGGGGTGGGATGCGATGGGGAGAGATTGTGGGAGCAACAGGGACCGGGTTTATGAGCACTCAGTGCCACACTCTTTTTGAACGTGAATCCACGTGGCCCTACCTGTAGCACTGTTTCATCCGGATTTCACCATTCCTCATCCTGTTCTCCGCCTCCAATTCCCCATTACCCCCAACGTCCCCCGCGTCCCTCCAACTCATCCCCCCCCTCCCCCTTCTTCTTGTCCCTTCCCCCCAAACATCCCCCAGGCTCCTTCGCGGTGCTGAACTGCTACCCGTTCTTCCCGTTCAAGGACGCAGGCGGCAAGATCAGCTACGACTACGCCATGTACCGCGGATACAAGGGCTTCTACGACGCCACGCGCTACTACCAGAACCTCATGGACGCCATGCTGGACGGCGCGCTCTGGGCCTTCGAGAAGCTCGGATATCCCAACATGCAGTACATGAGTAAGTGACGGGAGGGAGGAAGGGGGGGAAGGGGGGGGGGGGAGAGGGGCAAGTGGGTGCGCACGCGCTACTACCAGAACCTCATGGACGCCATGCTGGACGGCGCGCTCTGGGCGTTTGAGAAGCTCGGGTACCCCAACATGCAGTCAAGAGTGAGCGTGAAAAGAATTGGTGAGTGTGTGAGTGAGTGTGAGTGAGTGTGTGAGTGAGTGTGTGAGTGAGTGTGTGAGTGAGTGAGTATGTGAGTGTGTGGCATGTGTGCAAGAGTGGCTGCTGCTGCAGTCGTCACAAGTGTGTGCTTGGAGCGCCCCCCACCACATCCAGTTCACCCTTCCTCCCCCCTGGCTGCCCTGCCTCAAATGCAAGCTCCCTTATCAGCACGGAACGCTCTCTCCTTGCCCACCTCCCCTCACCACCACCCCTCTCCACTCTTTCCCACTTTCCCCTTCCCCCTCTCCACCCCTCTCCCCCCCTCTCCACCGCTCTCCACCCGCCTCTCACCTGCAGTTGGCGAGGCGGGTTGGCCCACAGGGGGCAACGCAGCGGCCACCATGGTCAACTCCAAGCGCTGGACTGCAGGCTTCCTGGCCCGCGCCAACGCCCTGCGAGGCACGCCCAAGCGCCCGGGCACGCCCATCCGCGCATTCCTTTTCGAGATGTTCGATGAGGACCTCAAAGACACCACCCCGGGGCAGTTTGAGAAGCACTTTGGGCTGCACTACGCCAATGGGACAAAGAAGTACGAGTTGAATGTGCTGGGCGTGGCGAAGAATCTCCCGCCGTCGAAACCCCCCAGGATGTGGTGCGTGCGGAATCCAACGGCTACTGATGCAGCGGTGGGCGGGGGCGTGTCGTGGGCGTGCTCCAAGGACGGAGGGGGGATGGACTGTGCAAAGATAGGGGTGAGGTGCAGGGAGGGGATGAAGGCGACAGCGGTGTATAACGCCTGGTTCCAGAAGCAGGGCCAGACCAGGGAGGCATGTGACTTTGGCGGCACAGCCAAAGTGACGGTGCGGAATCCGTCCAAGGGGATGTGTCTGCTGCACGGGCGGCCGCTGGGGGTGAAGTGATGACTAGGCACGGGGAGTTACGTGGTGCTATCTAAGGGAGTGGCATACGTACATAGCCTAGGAGGGAGGTACATACGTAGCGTGCTCAAGCCCTCACAAAGCACACACAGGGCACACGAACGCTGGGATTCGTCCAAGGGAGCCTGACTGTTGCATGGGCGGTTTCTGGGAGACAAGTCTTGGGATGGAGGTGTGAGAGTGTTGTTGCTGTCGCTCCCTAAAGAGTGAAACGCCTGATGTAATAGGTAGCGTGAAGAGTGCACATATAGTGCACAACGAGTAGTACTACTGGCAGGTTCTTAGCAAGTGGTTGCTATTTATTCAACTGCTTGAGATTGAAAGTAAAGTCAGGTTATGTGTTCCGGAATAACTGAGGTATGAATAAGGATCTAACAGATCCCAGTACCAATAGCTAGGCATATGAAAGGCTACATACGCCTTGCACATGCCTGGCTGTCCACTCCATGTGAGAGGCTTGGCCTCCAACCTAGGCATGTGCATTGTGCACCCAACCAAGGGAGCGCACACCAGACGCTTCAAAATATCAACGACAGCCAGGTGTCCAAATAGAAGGGGCTGTGTGTCAAACATATCTGAGTATGTTAGTATAGTCAATATAGGTTTGTGCCTTAGAGGGTACAACACACTTGCACATATTCCCTTGTACTGTCTCATGCTCTATTATTCTTCAATTCTGATATGGTATCATGAGTAGGTAGGTCCCACCGCCCACCCACGCTTCCGCCCTAGGTCCTAGCCGCCCGTTCCCCCTAGCTAGCCCGCGCCCGCTCCTAGTCGCCCCCGCGCCCGTTCCTAGCCGGCTCCTGCGCCTGCTCCTAGTCGGCCCCGTGCCCGTTCCTAGTCGGCCCCCGCGCCCGCCCCTAGTTGGCCCCGCGCCCGTTCCTAGCCGGCCCTTGCGCCCGTTCCAGCCGGCCCTCGCGCCCGTTCTAGCCGGCCCTCGCGCCCACTCCTAGCCGGCCTCGCGCCCGTTCCTAGTCGGCCCCCGCGCCCGCCCCTAGTTGGCCCCGCGCCCGTTCCTAGCCGGCCCTCGCGCCCGTTCTAGCCGGCCCTCGTACCCGTTCCAGCTGGCCCTCGCGCCCGTTCCTAGCCGGCCCTCGCGCCCGTTCCAGCCGGCCCTCACGCCATTCTAGCCGGCCCTCGCGCCCACTCCTAGCCGGCCTCGCGCCCGTTCCTAGTCGGCCCCCGCGCCCGCCCCTAGTTGGCCCCGCAGCCGTTCCTAGCCGGCCCTCGCGCCCGTTCCTAGCCGGCCCTCGCGCCCGTTCTAGCCGGCCCTCGCCCGTTCCAGCCGGCCCTCGCGCCCGTTCTAGCCGGCCCTCACGCCCGTTCCCGCCGCCCCCTCGCGCCCGTTCCCCGCCGGCCCTCGCGCCCGTTCCTAGCTGGCCCTCGCGCCCGTTCCTGGTCGGCCCCGCGGCCGTCCCTAGTCGGCCCCACGCTCGCCCCTAGTCGACCCCACGCCCGTTCCTAGCCGCCCCCCGACCCGTTCCTAGCTGGCCTCCGCGCCCGTTCCTAGTCGGCCCTCGCGCCCGTTCCTAGCCGGCCCTCGCGCCCGTTCCTGGTCGGCCCCGCGGCCGTCCCTAGTCGGCCCCGCGCCCGCTCCTACCCGGTCTCGTGCCCGTCCCTAGCTGGCCTCGTGCCCGCCCCTCGTCAGCCCTGCGCCCGTTCCTGACCGCGCGCCATACAGCACCGCACTGCACCACCCCTCACCACTCTGCACCGCCCAGCACCGCACTGCACTGCACAGCACCGCACTGCACCGCACCGCACCGTTCTGCACTGCACTGCACCGCACTGCACTGCTCTGCACCGCTCTGCACCGCACTGCACCGCTCTGCACCGCTTTGCACCGCACTGCACCGCTCTACACCGCACTGCACAGATCTGCACCGCTGCTGCATCCCTCTTGATGGCAGACTCCGTGCTCCGCTTCGACGCAGAGGGTCAGCCGCTTGAGTTTGACACGTGGCTGGTCGACCTCCGCCGTCATCTCACTGGTCAGCGGCAGGATGGCCACTCCCTGGCGGTCCACCTTGACGGCACGCTTCCCTGCCCTGACCCCCCTGCTGCCCTGCCCGCTGACACCTCGTCCACTTACCGTGAGTCCGCTACAACTGCTGCCCCTGCCTGCTCAGTCTGGTTGTCACGTGACGCCGTCGCGCAGCTTGCGATCAGTCATGCCTTCCCCCTGTCTGAGCGCCCACGCTTTAGGTCAGTCACGACTGCGCAGGAGTTCCTAGATGCTGTTCTCAAGCGCTATTCCACCCTGCCCGCTGCCTCTGTGGATCGCCTGATCCTAGCGATGCTCTTTCCGGACCTTGCGTCTTTCCCTACTGTCACTGACCTGGCCGCTCACCTGCGCACGATAGACGCGACCTGGCGCTCTGCCTGCACTGAGACCCACCTTAGAGCCTTTCAACCGCCCCTCTGCTCTACCCTCTACCTGCTTGCCACCCGCCTCCTTGACCATCTTGCTACTGCCCGCGATTGCTTTCTTAGCATCCACCCCGGTGATCTCACCCTCACCGACTTTGTAGACACCCTGTCTGCCATAGAGACCCGCCAGTGCTCTATCGCCCAGACCAGCGGTACTGTGCCGGTCCCTATCTTTCAGGGTTGTGCCCCCGCTCAGTGCACCTTCTCAGACGGTTCCGCTGCTGTGGCTGAGGCCGCAGCTGCAGCGCAGTTCCGTCTGGGGAAGGGTCGCCGCCCCAAGGCTGGGCGCGACGGTGGGGGTGGCGGTGCAGGTGGAGGTGGTGGTGGAGTCGGGTCGCCCGGTGGTAGCGCGGACGAGGGGACTGTGACTGGTGCAGCCGAGCAGCCATCCCAGCAGCCGCAGGTGTCGCAGCCGGACTAGCACCAGCTGCAGCAGTAGCCCCAGCACCAGCCGCAGCAGCCGCAGCAGCAGAGGCAGGCGAGTGGTCTACCGCCAGGGTGGCCTGGCGTTGGTGGTGGCGGTGGACGTGGTGGTCGTGCCCGTTGTGTGCCTCCGGGTGGCAGTTCGGGTGACGGGCGCTGTCAGTACCAGCTCCAGACCGGTCCTCGCCGCGGCTCCGTTTGCGGTAAGATCGGTCACACTCCCGTCCGCTGTTTTCGTCACCTGGACGACATGTTTCGTCTTCGCTTCAGCCCGTCGCCCGACCTCTCCGACTGGTACAGCTTGCTTCGTCGTAGTGTTCCGATTTTTTATATGGACATGGATGAGCTTAGCTCTGCCTTGTATGTGCTGTATGCTGATGACTCTAGTGTGACTGGTTCGTACTACCCGTTGTTGCATAGTGTAGGTGTGTCTAGTCTTGCCTCCCCTGCTATGTCAAGCGTAGGACCCCCTGCCTTGTTTAGCCTTGGTTCTTCCCTCGTTGCTCCGACTCCGGCCACCACTGCTGCGCTCTCCTTTACCCTCGACTCTGGCGCTTCCCGGTGTTTCTTTCGCGACTCCACTACGCTGACGCCACTTGCTGCTCATGCCACAGTTTCCCGTGCTGACCCCTCCTCCGGTCCGGTAGTCGCCCGTAGTTCCACCACCCTTCCCTGGCCGGCGGCTCCTTCGGGCTCTCTTACAGGCCTGCACATCCCCTCGTTCACTAGGAACCTAGTTGGTCTCGGCTGCCTCCAGGACCTTGGCGACACCACTACGTTCCCCGGTCACGAGCCGTACGCTATCTGTACCGAGGCCGCCACTGGTGCTCCTCTCACATCGTTCCCCCGGGACCCGATGTCCGGCCTGTTCACACTGGACACCGCGCCCCCCCCCGGTTGGGACATCTTCTCAGGTAGCTATGTCTCCTCAGGTTGCTGCGGCCTGCTCGTGTCGGTCGCTTACTCACCCAACACTCCTGTGGCACCACCGTCTAGGTCACCCTGCACTCCCGCGTCTGCGTTACATGTCTCAGCACTGTCTGGTCCTAGGTCTCCAAGGGTCGATCCCCGAGTTGCCCTCGTCCGCAGCGCCACCGTGCACGCCCTGTGTCGAGGGCGGGCCGGCTCCGCCGTGCCCCTCACTCCTCCTCGTTCCCCCCCACTGCCGCACCGCTACAGACCCTGGACATGGACGTCTGGGGCCCCGCCCCCGTCCATGGGCCGCGTCGAGAGTGCTTTTTCCTTGTGCTTGTCGATGACTACACGCGCTACACCACGGTGTTTCCCCTGGAGCGGAAGGCCAACGTGCCTGACGTTCTTCTGCCGTGGCTTGTCTCTGCACGTGTCCACCGCGGTCTCCCTGTCTTGCGTCTCCACAGAGACCGTGGTGGCGAGTTTGCCACTGGTGTCCTTGGTCGCTTCTGTCGTGCGGAGGGCATCACCCAGACGTTCAACCTGCCGTACTCCCCGCCGCAGAATGGGGTCGCTGAGCGACGCATTAGTTTGGTAATGGAGGTGGCTCGCACCTCCATGATCCATGCCGGTGCACTCCATTTTCTGTGGCCGTTCGCTGTTCGCTATGCCGCTCACCAGCATAACCTGTGGCCGCACCCCCTGCAGCCGCAGGTTTCGCCGACCCTTTTTTGGTCCGGGTCTCCTGGTGAAGCGTCTGCGTTCCACGTCTGGGGCCGCCTTGCTCACGTTCGTGCCTCTGGCACGTACAAGCTCACTGCCCGCACCCTCTCCTGTGCCTTCCTAGATTTCCCCCTCGACTCGTCTGACTGGCACTTCTACCACCTGCCGTCTCACCGTTTCTTTCACTCTCGCAACGTCACCTTTGACGAGTCCGTCTCCTTCTACCACCGCTTTCCCCACCGTGGTCCCACGGTTACTCCCCCACTGTTCCTGGTCCCCCCTTACCTGGTCGCCCCTGCCCCTCCCCCTCCCCCCCCGCGTCCTGACCCGTCTGGTGTGTCCCACGTCACCCCCCTCACGTCGGTTGTCCGGGTCGAGGAGTCTGCGGACTCTGGTGGCCTTGCGGCGTATTCCTGGCCGCCTGCCCCTCCCCAGGTGTCTCCTCCTCCGCCGCCTCCGCAGCCGCCGTCACCGCCGCCGTCGTCGCAGCCGCAGCTGCCGCAGCCGTCGTCGCCGCAGCCGTCGCAACAGCCGTTTGTTGACTCTGGTGGTGCTGGCGTTGGGGTGGGTACTAGTCCTGGGGCTCCTGTCGTGGCTTGTCCTGGCGGGCCTAGGGGTGGTACCAGTGCTCGAGGGGTTCCGGGCTCTGGGGGTGTTCCTTCTGGGGGTGCTGGAGTGGAGTGTTCCGGAGTTAGCCGTGGAGCAGCTTGCGGCCCCGGTGTCGGTGTCGTGTCGCCGCAGCAGCAGACGCCGCCGGTGTCAGCCCTGCGCCTACTCGGCCTTTCGTCCCCTGACCACGCGTCTGTGCCTCTTCCTGTCTACGGCCCTATGTTCCCTCCCCCGGACTCGACTCCAGCTCGTCTTCCCCCTCATTCCCCTCTTGTGTCCCCTCCTCTGTCTCCTGACCCGACGCCTCCGTCTCACGCCTAGTCTCGCCCCGTCTCCCCTGTCACGTGCTCTCACCCTATGTTGTTTCGTTCCCACGTGTCTCGTCCTCCCCTCCTCCTGTCTCTTCCTCTGTCCTCCCTTGTTGTGGCTCCTCCCCCTCTGTCTGACTACCTTCGTGCCGCTTGTCCTCTTGCTCCTCGGGTTCTTGCCTCTCTCGTTACCGACCCGTCTGTTCCGGTCTCGCGTCTTGACGCTTTTGTCGCTGCGGTCGCTGACTTTGCCTCTACCCGCCGCCTTGACTATGCCACCGCTCAGCTCTCTGATCCTGCCCATCCTCCGTCTGTCAGAGGTGCTCCTGCCCTCGGCAGTGACGTCCTAGAGGACCGCCAGTACGAGCTTGCTTTCCTGTCCGAGGCTGCTCCCCATCTTTGTTCCATGCTGCTAGTCCGTGAGGGTGACCCAGACGCTTTCGACATCCCGACCCCTCGCACTTACACTGAGGCCACTTCGGGACCCTGGGCCTCTCAATGGATAGCTGCCATGGAGCAGGAGATGGCATCTTGGAGATCCACCAGTACTTACGTCGACGCAGTTCCCCCACCTGGGGTGAACGTAGTCGATGGCCGCTGGCTCTTCAAGGTGAAGCACCCTCCTGGAGAGCCGCCTGTGTTCAAGGCGCGCTACGTGGCTAGAGGCTTTAGTCAGCGTGAGGGGGTGGACTTCTTTCAGACCTTCGCCCCGACCCCGAAGATGACTACTCTTCGGGTACTGCTACACGTAGCAGCAAAGCGTGACTACGAGTTACACTCCCTCGACTTCTCCACAGAGTTTCTTCAGGGCAGTCTACACGAGCAAGTCTACCTGCGCCGCCCTTAGGGCTTCACTGGTACCTTCCCTCTTGGGACCCAGTGGCTCCTGCGGCACCCAGTCTACGGCTTGCAGCAGGCACCCCAGGAGGGACACGACACGCTGCGTGCTACCCTTGCAGACCTGCAGTTCTTTCCGTCCTCTGCAGACCCCTCGCTCTTCGTTCGTGCTGGCCAGACTCCGTTCTACATCCTTGTTACGTAGACGATTTGGTCCTTGCCACTGCAGACACTGCCGTGCTGGCCTTCGTGAAGGCTGAGCTGCTGAGAAGACACACCTGCACTGACCTCGGAGAGCTGCGCCACTACCTTGGCCTGCAGATCTCTAGGGACAGAGCAGCGCGCACCATCACCCTCACCCAATCACACTTGGTGCGCCAGGTCCTTCAGAGGTTCGGTCTTCAGTTCTCCTCCGCACAGCCCACACCTCTTTCAGTAGATCACAGGCTCTCGCTCCAGTTCCTGAGGAGTCAGCAGTGCCCAGTGGTCCTTACGCAGAGCTGGTGGGTTGCCTCATGTACCTGATGACTTGCACTCGTCCAGATCTCGCATACCCTCTCAGCATCTTGGCTCGCTTTGTGGCCACGGGCAGACACAGACCTCAGCATTGGTCTGCCGCTAAGAGGGTTTTGCGTTATCTCGCAAGTACATCGGGCATGGGGTTAGTGCTGGGAGGACGCAGGCCAGTGGTCCTTACTGGGCACGCAGACACTTCTTGGGCAGACGACGCCGAGACCCTCAGGTCCTCGCAGGGCTACTTCTTTAGCCTTAGTTCAGGTGCTGTCTCGTGGAGAGCTACTCGCTCCTCGTCTGTTGCTCAGTCCAGCTGTGAGGCCGAGATCTACACCGGTGCCGTGGCGGCACAAGAGCTCTGCTGGCTGACCTTCTTGCTCACTGACTTAGGTGAGCGGCCTAGCTCTGCCCCTGTCCTGTAGGCTGACAACAGGGCCATGATCCTCCTGTGTCAGGAGCCTCGACTTGAGGGCAGAGCGAAGCACATCCAACTGCGGTACTTCCTCCTGCGCGAGCTACAGCAGCGTCGCCAGGTCCGCGTAGTATACTTGGCCTTCGGTGCCAACACAGCTGATATCTTTACGAAGGCGCTTGCGCCTAAAGATCATCAGCGGCACTGTGTACAGCTGGGTCTTGTTCCTGTTGCCTCTCACCTGCTAGGACCTGGACTATGTACAAACCTTTATATATTTTACCCTGACTGGCCTTGTTGGCTCTCCTAGTGGCTGGACTAGTAGTGTCGCCCTGGACTTGCTCTTGTCTTGTCTGTACTCCTTTTGACTGGTCTTTAGACCCTTGCCTCAGAGGCTGGACTAGTAGTGCCGCCCTGAGCTGCTTGTTCTCCTGCTAGGCACCGCCCCTATATGGTCTAGGGGGTGTGTCAAACATATCTGAGTATGTTAGTATAGACAATATAGGTTTGTGCCTTAGAGGGTACAACATACTTGCATATATTCCCTTGTACTGTCTCATGCTCTATTATTCTTCAATTCTGATACTGTGGGGGAACTGAGCTCAAGGGTTCCCATTTGAATGCCCGAGGGTCGAAAACCAAGACCGTGCGTGGGGAAAGGAGGAATAGAGATTGCCTGGGATCTCTCAGGGTTTTGGTTTCAAAATACCGTATGAATGTCAAACATATATGTATATGTTACTATAGGCTAGATAGGTGCGGACTCTTAGCGAGTACACGCCCTTCGACAAAACCACCCTGTAGCTCACATTCTAGTCAAACTTTCTACTCTGAGAATGAGTACACTGCATCACCTGCACACCTGCAACACCTAGATGGCGATGTTCATCTCGTCCTTCCCCACCACCTCCTCCCGGATGGCCTGCAGCTCGTTGGCAACGTGAGCCATGGTTGGGCGGCTTGCAGTGCGTTCCACGGTGCAGCTGATCGCCAGCTCAGCCACGCGCAGCACAGCATCCTCAGGGGCGTCCATCTTGGGGTCGTTGAGGCTCGCTGCAGAGCCAGAGGAGAGACATTCGGATACCTGAGGAAGTGGAAGGGATTGGGAAAGGAGTGGCTTGGGATGAATTCGGGGACATACCTAACGAGAGTGCAATGACTTTTGAGGAGCCTCAAAAGTTGTCTCTTTATCCGTGGACATAACGAGAGTGCAATGACTTTTGAGGAGCCTCAAAAGTTGTCTCTTTATCCGTGGACATAACGAGAGTGCAATGACTTTTGAGGCGCCTCAAAAGTCGTCTCTTTATCCGCGGACATACCTAACGAGAGTGCAATGAGCTGCGTGCAGGTTTCTGCCACTGTGGTGGGGAATGTTGAAAGACAGTCATGGGGTTTGAAAAGATGGTGGGCCATGGCAGTAGGCCTGGGTGCTTACCCATGACAGGATTTGCTTGTTCTCTCCTACAGCCGTAGACACTGGAGGGCGTCCAGTGAGGACCACAAGCATGAGCACGCCAAAGCTGCAGAGAGGGAGAGATGCGGAGGGAAGAAAGATGGTAAGAGCTGCGATGGACAATGGCCTTTTCATAGCAAAGATTCCAATGTGATAAGGCAGCCAGTGCCACCAACAAAACTTGGAGTCAGCAAGGGTAAGCGAACATGCATCAAGGTCCACACCACATGACAACTGCTTTAGACTTCAAGGTCACTGACTGGCAGAGAGATCCCCCAGACTCTGAGATCACCTGTAGACGTCGCTGGCAGTGGTTGCCTTTGATGTCCGGGAGTATATTGGATCCACATAGCCCGGTGTCCCCATCACTCGAGTGGTACCCACTGTAGTGCCCTCTCCCGCCCTCACAAGCCCAAAGTCTGCAATCTTGGCCTGGATACAGGTGGAGCCATAGCAACAACAGCCAGGGATAATGTCATTTCTGGGTGCAAAAAATTGTCAATGGATAGAGCTAGTATTTCCACGTTCAAGTATCCTTAGAAAATAACAATCATAAGCCCAACCAAATTCTAAGGTATACCCAACACCACAAGTAGAAACTGCATCGACTGAACAGAACTAGTGAAACTATGTCCCGTTAGCTGAGCCATGCCTGGCTAGGTGATTGGTATTTGTGTGGGCTCCCTAATGGCTTCGATCTATGCCCCAAAGTTTGGGATTGTTGGTATTTTTGGACTCGGGTCGGGGACCAGCAGAACACAGATGCACCATCGTTCCCCTTTACGGTATTCTGGTGCTAGTACACTTGCCTGCATGTCATTGGTGATGAGGATGTTGGCGGGTTTGATGTCGCGATGCACAATGCCAAAGCTGTGGAGGTACTCAAAGCCACTGGCAGCACCAATGAGAATGTCCAGCCGCTGCTGCAGACTCAGAGGAATAATTGCCTCTGCAAGATAATACAGCATGAATGGAAATTTGCAAAGCATACGACTCCCACACACACACACCAAGAGCATTGCAAAAAGAAATACATTGTATTAGCGGCACACGCACTTGGGTCCATCCAACTTTGCAGGTCACCGTTAGGCACAAACTCGTAGATGAGGACTTGCTCCGGCCGTGTCCTCAAGTCCCCTCCCACAGCAAACCCAAGCAGCCGCACAATGTTGGGATGGTTCTTGTCGGCCATCTGCTGGATCTGGAGCAGATCATGCACAGACAAGCAAGGGGAGAGGGAGAAAGTGCAACAAAGATGGAGGAAGAACGCACAACAGGAATGTCAAGGAACCCTGGCAATGGGGGCAGTTGCGCATTTGTTCTACTTGCTAGGCTTGTACCCTGGATGGAACCAAACGGCTCACGTACTTCTGGAGTGGCAAGGGTTTGAATGAATTATCTGTTGGAATACGAGCTGCCCACACGCAGCTCGCTCACCTCCCTGTGGAAGTCCACGTCTATAGAGTCTCCAGTAAGCCACCTCCCTAAACGCGGCTCACCTCCCTGTGGAAGTCCACGTGGATCAGCTGCATACCAGCCAGAACAGGTGCGGCCCACCCACCTCCTTCTGAAAGTCCACGTCGATCAGCTTGGCTCGCTTCACAGCCCACACTGTGGTGCCATCACGGGGAGACACGCCCTTGTAGACATCACCAAAGGCACCCGAGCCAAGCTGGTTGTCCTCCGACCAATCGTTGGTGGCCTTGAGGACCTCAGCCAGAGAGAACTCCGTGCAGTGGGAGGCTGCTAGGCTGGCAGCCACGCCTGCCCATGGGGGGTGGGGGGTGGGGGGTGGGGGGTGGGGGGTGGGGGGTGGGGGTGGGGGGTGGGGGGTGGGGGGTGGGGGGTGACAAGTGGCACGCACAGAAGTCACCATGAACAGACTTTTGAGGCGCCTCAAAAGAAGTTACCATGAACAGCATGTGTTCACTTGAAGCACGAATTAGAGAGTGTGGAGCTACATGAGGACCATGCACTCTGTAACAAGGTTTCATCTTCCCACCTTTTGGCTTCTGCTGCCTCTTGTGTCTGAAGTAGAGCAATACGGCAACCAGAAGCAGGAGAATGACCACAGCAGCAACAGCAATGCCAATGATGACTCCCACCGATACACCTCCTCCTCCACCAGATGCGGCTGCTGACGAAGACTCACTGCCGCTGCTGCTGGTGGTGACGGTGGTGGTGGTGGTATCTGTTTTCACATTGGCACGTACAAGCCCGTGGGAGCAGCATGCCAGAAGCAATGATATGATACATAAATTAAAGTTGTATTGTAAACTCACAGTTAAAGTTGAAAATTCGGAAGCCATCAGCATGTCCAGAAAAATCTTACACGGGTTGAAACAATTTTCAGAATGCAACGTTTCAGAATGGAAGGGTGATGCCTCATGTCATCGCCTTGCCACATGGGAAATGTCACCCAGCAGTGAATTTCTGTTGTGCAACTTCCCATGGCCTGATGCTTACCGGTTGCATGGCCGCACGTTCTGCAGAATGAGTCACACAGCTTGCAGAAGATCGATTCAAGTGACTGGGTTGGGCCACAGCTGGTGTGGTCAGCAGGACACGTGAGGTTAGTGCCACTTATGCTTCTGTTGTGGGGGGAAGGGGAGAGAGGATTTTCTGGAAACACAGGCCAAGGCCATTAGTTGTTGTTCTTGATGCACCGCAAGCCCTTCAGATACTTCAGTTTCTGCGTTTGACAGCACGTGCAAGAATTCACCACGGTTTTTGTCAGTGCAAAAGTTGTTGAACTTCACCCCCCCAGCATTATGGATTGGTGGTGGTGGAGTCTCTCTCAGCACAGTGCGTTGTCCGAATTTAATTGCCAATTGCCTATAGTTGCCTGTACTGCAGTTGCCTGGTTGGTGCGTCACATACAGCGAGTCGAGCGACATGAGAGTTCCAAGAGATTTTGGCAGCGCTCCGTTGAGGCCCGTATTGTTGACTCTCCTGCAATGGGGAAAATGGGAGACATGAAAAGAAGAAGAAAAAAACAAAGCTGTGAGAAACGAGCACAGAGATAAGCCTAGGGATCCGGTCCGGGGGAAGTTGAAATAACAGCAAGCTTTATCGGCATAGGATAGGACTCTTCATTTGGGATGGAACACTGAACTGAAGGAACACTGAACTGAAGGATCACTGAACTGAAGGAACACTGAACTGAAGGATCCATGGGAAGCCGCTAAAGAAGTAACACTGATAAGCATGGGAGAGATAAGCCTGACCAATCAGCCTGAACGGAGAGAGAGAGAGAGACACGCAGAGAAAGAGATAAGAGATAAGCCTAACCACCTCCAGGATAAGCCTACAGGGAGATAAGCCTTGATAGGGTGCCAATCATGTCTGGTAGAGGGCCACTTAACGAGTTGCTGTCTAACCACCTGGAGTACACCATGAATGCCATCAAGGAGACACGCAGAGTGGCAATAGCAAGGAGAATGGCCTTGCTGGCAGCAACAGCACCAAAATCCAGCACCTGCAGCTAGTTTTGATTTGCCGAAAGAAAGAAAGCGCCTGCTCATGGGAGTTTAAGTCTTGGGTGAGGAGTTCGATCGATGTATATTTTCTGTGAGACCCTGATATTGGGCGCCTTTTTTTTAATGAACAATCAACTCATCTAGCTGGACGCCTCACTCACAGGAGTTGCAGCTGTTTGCAGTAGGCAATAGAGGTCGGGATGGGCCCACTCAGCTGATTACCACTCAGCACCCTGAAGGGAGAAGGAAGCAGGAGCAAGCAATACAGTAGAATCTAGGCCACAAATAGCAGCATAGGGAACTACTCATGTAGGTGGAGTACATTGTAGGGAAGTCAAACAACGAAGGCAACTCTCAGCACATAGCAAAAGAACAATATTGTGTAGTGAAAGGACTCAAACGGGTGTACATTCTCAATGTCATAAAGAAGTCGAAGAAAGGTTAAAAATACATGACCAAATGGCATAGCATACATGGTTTGTATCTAACGTCTTATGGGATGTATGCCACTTACATGTATGTGCGTTCCGAGACTTGATTGATCAGCTCAGGAATGGAGCCATTCAGCATGTTGTTGCCAAGATCCCTGATGGAACCAGTCAAGCGATAACATTCAATCTATGCTTGGCAGGCACCTGCCATTTTCTCTAACAAGTGGCTACAAGAAGTTGCTGGCCGCAATGCCGAGAAGCCACGGTGGGACCGTGGAACATAGCAGCAGCAGCAGCAGCAGCAGCAGCAGCAGCCACTTAGCGGGCAGGGAGTAAGTGCCTCTATGGGGGCATAAAGTAGCAGGAACTTAGCAAGTTGGTTCAACGCATGAATACGTGTTGGAAAATGGTAGCAAAATGGAAACAATCATAGGTGTCCCCCACAGCTCTCCGAGTCCTCCATCCTAAAGAAAGAGTCAGAGGAAATACCAATACTCCTCTAGGACTTCTTGAAGCCTCCCTCACAGTGCGTGGTGCAATATATTCCAGCACATTTTATAAAAATGTCTAGCGAGAATCCTTCTTACATTTTAGCACTGCCACTCCCAGAAATTTGCACAGCGTCATCCTCTCAGTTCTTGATGACCCCAGCAAGAATACATTATTCAGGATAAACATAGTTATTTTATTTCTATGTGAGGGTATACACACAGTTCTATCAGAAACGGTAGGTTGATGATGCCTGTAATGTGCCCAGAGAAGAGGTTGTCATTCATGTGCCTGCTCATGCAGAAACATTTGAAGAGGGGTAACATTCATGTGCCTGCTCATTGCTTATCAGGCATGAGCAACGAGGCGAGGATTTCCTCGCCTCGAAGATCCTCGCCTCGAAATTCCGGGGGTCGAGGCAGGATTTCTGGGAAAAATCCTCGCGAGGAATCCTCACCCCGCCCCGGCGAGGATTCGAGGCCTCGACTTTTCCTCGAGGCAAATGGGCGAGGATTTTGTATCCTCGCGAGGAAAACCTGGATAAGGCTCATTCTTCCCACACATGTTCCCATTTCCCCCCCCCCCCTAAACCCCCAGCCGCCCAGGTCAAGGAATCCTCGCCCCGGGTCAAGGAATTAATCCTCGAGGCGAGGATTTCAATCCTCGACCCCAAAACCCGGGGGTGGAGGGGGGATTTTCAAGAAAAATCCTCGGCGAGGATTCCTCGACCCGCCCCGGCTATGGCGCGAGGATGAGATCCTCGGGTCAAGGAATCCTCGCCTCGCCCCGTGTCAATACTGAACATCTGATGGGATAGTGTCATGGTGAGTTGAAAGGTAACTGCTATGCCAATTAGTAGGGATATATATAAATGAATAAAATTAAGAGTGATTTACAGGAATTGAAGCTTGGCAAGGCTGCGCATGGTGCTTGGAATGGACCCACTGAGCTTGTTATTGGATACTTTACTGAAGGCACATGTGAAATAAAAAAAGTTGTCAGAAGGAGTGGAATTCAATTCAAGTAGGCAGCAACAACATACGAACAGCATTACGAGTGAAGTAGCTTGTTTCTCATTCAAATATGCACGAGTGAAGGTTGAGTGAGACGAAAGAATCAATCCAGGAATGATGCAACGAGTGAACCGAATTGAACTACCTTGGAACACACGGGATAACACAACTATGCCAAGCTGCAAATCGTACTTGAGGATAAACAATGGTTCTCATGGTGTATTTTGTTCTGTACTCTCAGACGTGAGAGCATCTGGCCACGAAGTACACTTCTCCCCAAGGTCACCTTCGAGAATCCTTGGATGCCAGGTAGAAATACACGCTGGAAAGGAGCATTAGCTTCTAGCTGTGCACCACCAATGTGTGTACGCCAGCATTCATATGCAAACACGTGTGCCGTATGATCGAGTGTAGGCATGTAGATATATATATAGGTTATACATGCTCAAGCGCCGCACACTCTGCCAAACACACCTCACAGGGATGTATGTAGTAACAAGCCCAAAGCCATGATAAGGCTCGAAACCACCCACATACGCCCACACTTCCGCTGGTACTTTGACCTTCTCTCACACATTTGAGAGTGATAAAACACTCACAAGGATTCGAGCTTGGAGAGGCTGCTAATCAAATCGGGAATGGTGCCATTCAGTTCATTGTTAGCAACGGATCTGATGAGACGATAAGGGATGGACAACGGATCTGATGAGACAATAAGGGATGGAGCATGTATATGGGGAACATAGAATGCGAAGGAGATTTTTGAGTCGACTAAAAAATCACATATAATGCGAAGGAGATTTTTGAGTCGACTCAAAAATCACATATAATGCGAAGGAGGAGGAGGGGGGGGACAAGTGTGGAACCGCCATGTAACAAATAACCTCGAAAAGGTTATGTTCGAAGTACAACAAATGGCCTAATGCAAAAGGTATGGACCAAGATTGTGAATCAGTCACCTTTGTGAAACTGTGGCCATAACGTTTCCAATCGGAATCACCCTTGAGAAATGTTTTCTCTTGAATGTAATGCATACATGTACTTCAAGTTGACTAGGTTCACAACTGATCTCGGGATGGGTCCAGACAGATTGTTGTTCCCAAGAGACCTGATGTAACGCAAAAAGTGGATAGCGGGACATGAGAACAGTATCTCTGTGTCAAAGGGGCATTCTTCTTTCCTTGTCAAAAAGGACTACAATCTAATCTACTCCAGCCTAATTGCACACTCCCGATTTGCAAACACATCATACTATTCTCACCTAACCCCCGTAGTTATTTCCTGTTTCCAATACATGGCATGGCATGGCATGGCATGGCATGGCATGGTGTGCCCAAGTATCTGCCCCTCAACAGTTTGTTTGTCGCTCTAACTTCTGCCAACCTCCCTCAGCGCACACCGTGGCCCCTTCCACCCTTTGGTTTCCCTAAGAGAGGCATCTGCGCAGTAACGCTCATCCATGGCACCTGGACAGCATGGCGTACAATCTGCTCTGCACCCACAGTAGTAATCACAGTCGCCACTCTTTGTGACCTATCCTAATTTGTGGCCACTCTAGAGGGGAAATCACAAAGGCACCCCTTACCCCGCCCACTTCAGACACAGAGAGTGGTACGCTACGCCCTAGTGGCCATTGTTCGCACAAAGGAAGGTGGTGGCAGTAGTATTGCCTTTGCCAGGGAGCTCACAGATACTCCGTTCTGGTCAAGCTGCCAAGAGTAGCTGGAATGGACCCCCTCAAGTGATTCTCACTAAGATTTCTGATGCTCCGTCCGTGGGCGGCAAGACATGGGTAAACATAGGGGGAACGAAGGGGAGAAAACAGGGGGGAGCCGAGGAAGGGAAGACATGGAGGGGAAACACTAGGTATGAAGGCAAGGTAGGAGGACGTGCGGTGCTAGAGAATGACTGCGATGGAGTGTATTAAGGCATCTGGAAACAAAGGCTGCACAAACGTCCATCTGAAGCTATTTTGTCATTGTTTGGATGGTGTTGTGATTATATCCAGCACACATGCATCCTAGAGCATTGAGCTTCATTATTAGCATCTCGTTAACATGCTAACAATGAAGCATGTTAACATGATATCTCGTTAAAACGTATTCTCTGTCATTTGGTGACTTTTGAGTCGACTCAAAAGTCACCTCGTATTCTGTCTCTCGTATTTCCCTCTTCCCCATATCCGAGTCCTCTAACCTCACTCTCCTGAATCCTATTCTTACACTAAGTGAGCTGCCAATTAAGAGTCGGCCTTGCCCAAAGGGAGATGCCTGGTTCAATCGACTACATCTACACAGAGTGATTAGGTTCTGGGCATCTACGCCGTCAGCCACGCACAGCTTCTGCATGTTGAAGAGGTTTCCAATTGATGCTGGGATGGGTCCGGATAGACTGTTGTTGTGCAGATACCTGATTCCACAACAGGCAGTGAAATGTTTAATATGAAATAGAAATAAGTGGAGTTTCCCCAATAACCAACAGAAAAAGATCAAGGACATGGGAAATGCATATGGCATCACACAATTCAAGGAAGTTGCCGTACTCTTGTCGCTTACAGATCCTGCAAGCTGACCATCTGGCCAAGAACAGCTGGAATGGGCCCAGTCAAGCGATTCCCACTTAACGATCTGAAGGCCCGTGAAAAGCAATCCATGGGTGACAAGCAGGGAGACACCGTGGACCAAAGCACGGAGGGACGGACGAGAGTCAGTCACCAAAAGGGGACCGGGGGAAATGGGGGGGTCGAGGAAGGACAACCTGGTAGGAGGAGCGTTGATTGAGGCATCTAGCGTATAGACGAATGCCGTGGGTGACAACAACGATGAGCGGGGGGGGTGACAAGAGCACAGAAAGCGCATGTGCGCGCAGGCGAGAGACGATGAGCGCGCCAGCAAGAGAGGAGGCATGGGCATTGGTAGCGAGCGAGCGAGTGGACGTCAGCAGCACACAGCAGCACACAGCAGCACACAGCAGCACACAGCAGCACACAGCAGCACACAGCAGCACACAGCAGCACACAGCAGCACACAGCAGCATACAGCAGCACACAGCAGCACACAGCAGCATACAGCAGCACACAGCAGCAGGCGTGCGGGCGACGGGTGACAAGCAGGGAGACACGGTGGACAGGAATGTGAGAGTAGGAAGGAAGCAGGCAGCGGGCAACTGCAGACGAACACAACACAAGCAGCAGACGGCCGGAAAAGAGGCTGGCAGTTGGGCCGGCCGGGGGGGAATGATAGCAGAAGAGTGGCTGGAGGCTGCAGACTTGATGAGGAGGCAATAAATGGCAGCAAACATAGGTAGATGCTAACATGAGGGGAAAAGGGGGGGGCATAAAAAAGGGCTTAAAATTCAGTTTGCGAGGCGATCCAATAGGAGAGGAAGCTAGTAGGTGAAAGGACGACTTTCAGTAATGGCTGCTGTCCTGTCCCTTTACAATGGGTTTTCGGAGAGAAATCCCTGGTATTACCGTCAAAACCTAAGGAACCGTGGCATAAGCCCAATGAAAATAATAAAAAGTTTGAGAAATTCCTGTGACTTGTGATAATCTGAACAAAGATACCAAAATTGAATTATTGAAGTCAATAAACCCGATAGTGTGTACGCAAAGCACTTTGCACGCAGACATACACCCTTGTTCAACCCAAAGAAAGCAGTGGCAGAACCGTTGTTTTGATACTCACAGATACTTTAACCCCGCCATGCTGCCAACCGTAGTTGGAATGGACCCACTTAAGTGGTTTACACTTATATTTCTGATGGTTTGTTAGAGACAAACAGAGAAAGAGTGAAATTAGGAGGAAAGGGGGCACTGGAGGGTGAGAGTGTTGCATCTTGCATGCACATCCTGCCGATGACACACATTGATTGCCTCACCTTCCTGGATGAGCTAGGCCATGCCCCACGCCGCCTAGCCATCACCAACCTTTGGATGTGACAGGGGTAGTACTGTAGCACCACTCATCTCACCAAGGACCATCCAGTTTTCCACAACGGCACCCAAAGCACATTGAGCTGCGCCAGCTCTTCATTCGTGACCTCGCTCAGTGGTGCAGTCAGTACGCCCAGCTGAAGTTGCAGTGCAGTGCAGCACATTGCCACAACTGATGGCAACCTCGCTGATCTCGTCACCAAGTCCCTTAGACTTGTTCACCATCACCGCTTGCTCAGCAGTTTGGGGCTCTGTGCTCCTTCGCCTCATGGCAGGCTAGGGGGCGTGTTAACGGTACTTTGCAACCATACTTTTGACTCTGTACTCTACTTTAGTGTAGGAGTGCTTCCGTGGCTTGGGTGTTACACAAATATCACAACCCTACCCAAATGTGATCACTAAAAATCTCCAATCCACCTACAGGAGATTTTGACCAATCCTATTGGTTGGTAATAATCCATGATTTCGATGTACTAAGGACCTTGAGCCTTTCCACATCTTGAGTATAATAAACTTAAAAGTCTTAAACATTGCTCATCCCAAAGCCAATGGCCAATCCCCACCTCGGCCATCCCCAAGTGCCAATTGCCAGCTACCTGGTAGTTCGCTCTGGTTACGAGTCCCTTCTGATACAGCACCACTACACAGCGTTGAAGGAGACATCCAACCCATTCTATACAGCTTACAGAACTTCCAAGAAAAAGAGGTTTCCAATCCGAGGTGGAATAGGCCCTGTAAGCTTGTTGTCAGCGAACGACCTTCACCCAAGTAGTCAGGATTACGAAAGAGAAGAAAACGGAATGGATTGATCTCGTCATGGTGTGGGCTATTATTATGTGCTAATGTCGTGAGTTATGAAAATCAGTCAACATTATAAACTCGCTCATGCACGGTTACTAGGGTAGGGACGAACAAGGAGTGGCAAATTAAATGATGATAGAAGATGAGGGAATGCCTGAGCATGCAGTGCACACACACTCGCGTATAGTGCACACGCATGCATGCATACTGATGCGCACATGGCATGCAGAAAAAGGGTGGTGAGTGGCAACACACAGGTGGAGCAACACACAGGTGGAGCAACACACAGGTGGAGCAACACACAGGTGGAGCAACACACAGGTGGAGCAACACACAGGTGGAGCAACACACAGGTGGAGCAACACACAGGTGGAGCAACACCCAGGTGGAGCAACACCCATGGTTAAACACATAATTACTGCAAAATGTTCTAGCGTCCATTCAAATGCTCCACACCCATTCAAGCAGGATTTGGAGGGGAGAAAACCACGAGAGATATCGTTGTAAACCTGCGATGGCTATACTCGGAACTCAAGGCATGCGTTTCGTACAAAAATCTCAGTGCTGTGAGCGATGTGATGCTGTTGGGAATGGAGCCGGTCAACGAGTTCTCATATAGACCCCTGCGTGGCGTGAGTTTGAAGGAGCGAGGACATGAGAATATCGGGAATGGCAGGAGGAGCAGCAAGCACTCATGGGATGGGTTGGGGCTGGGCTGAATCTGTGTGTGGTTCAACGAGAAAAAATGGAGTGATCTGACTGTGGATCGGATTTGGGAAGGAAAAGAAGGACTTCTGTGAATCTCAAAACTCTCTCACAAGGACCTGAGTGGACAACAGACAGTGGGCAAAGCTACTAGCGCTTGGACAGCGGTGCAATCTAAAAGTGAATTCAAAGAGTTGTGGGGAGGAACAAGGAATGGCATTTATGGAACGGCTGCACATTGCAAAAGGGGGAGAAGTGAGTGAGCACGCAAAGTGATGGCCGCACATGTGCAATGAAGGAGTGCTAGCCGTGCTGAGCACATGGCATGCAACACATGGCATGCAACACATGGCATGCAGCGCATGGCATGCAGCACATGGCATGCAGCACATGGCATGCAACACGTGGCATGCAGCTAGACATGATCAAAACGCGATTGCGATTTAAATCGCATCGCATGCAGGTGCGATGTTCAAAAAAGCGATGCGATTTTAAATCGCATCGCGCGATTTATTTTCCCCAAAAAAAAAAATCGCACATCGCATTTTACCCGCGATGTATTAAAAAATCGCATGCGATATTTAATTAAATCGCGCAATGCGATTTTAAATCGCATCGCGTTTTAAAACATAATTAAAAAACACCCCAAAAAAACAGGAAAAAAACATGGCTGCGGGGAAATTGACTCACGGGCAGTCGTAAGCTAGAGTGCAAATAACCAGTGTAGTTTCGTAGTGGGTTTCAGAGTGAGTTTCAGTGCAATATCGCGTGCGATTTTTTTAAAATCGCATATCGCATTTAAATCGCGTTTTTTAGCGCGATTAAAATGCGATTTATATTAAATCGCGCGATATTAGTTTATCGCATCGCGCGATGATTTTAAAAAAAAAAAAAAAAAAAAAAAAACATCGCCATAGCAAAAACGCGATTAAATGCGATGCGATGCGATTTTTTTTGCCCATGTGTACATGCAGCACATGGCATGCAACACATGGCATGCAGCACATGGCATGCAGCACATGGCATGCAGCACATGGCATGCAGCACATGGCATGCAACACATGGCATGCAGCACATGGCATGCAACGCAAGAGTAGTGAGTAGCACCCAGTAGACAGAGCAACAAGCAAGCAGGTGAGGTGAAGCAACACCACGTGTGACCACATTGCTACCTCAATTGCTCCAAGCCCATTTTTGCAAGAATATAAACCAGGGGGAGAGTATTACTCGAGGTTTTCCTCGGGGATGGCTGGACTGGACTTCAGACTCAGTGGCTGCACTTCTTACATATATATCATTGCCGTGAGCGAGGTGATGCTGTTGGGAATGGAGCCAGTCAAAGAGTTCCTATAGAGATTCCTGAGTGGATTGCGTTGGAAGGAGCGAGGAGATGAGAATAGCAGTGGGTATGGAAGGAGCGAGGAGATGAGAATAGCAGTGGGTATGGAAGGAGAAACAGGAAGCACACACGGGATGGAATGGCTCTGCTGAGATGTATCTGTATATGGCTCAATGAGAAAAGAGTGGGATGATGATAGTGGCTGGGGATGAAGGGCCAGAACAGACAGGAGAAATACGAAGAGAGCCAGGGTGGGTAGACAGTGAATGGAAAACAAAAGTGAAAAAACGCTTCAGTTGTCTAAGGTATAGCTGTTCTTTCCCAAAATTCTGCCAGCAATTATGTGGAGTGGAGATTCCTCTTGATGCACATAGCCTCCACTCCACTCCACTCCACGTGATTGCTGGCAGATTTTTGGGGAGCCTAGAGAGAGACGTTCTATAGCCTCCATGAGAAAAACGGGTGAGAAATGAATAAGGTTTGCGTGTTTGTTTCACTCACGTCACAGTAAAAGCAAAAGGTGCTTAGGAGGCAGAATGGGCGGTGGGGAGGGACATCAACTATATTTTTTCTCTGCCGTGCTTAGCAACACTACCATATAACTAGCGGCGGTCCTTGCTTGGGAATGGCTGACTGTAAGGTACAGCCACTACCTCAACAGAGTCAGGGCCTGGGCTTCAAAAAGCGAGATGCTCACATGAGCCGGAGTGCAGAAAGGGAGGTGATGCTGTTGGGAATGGAGCCGGTCAAAAAGTTCCACCCCATATCCCTGTGTGGGGTGGGGTGGGTTGAACGTGGTGGCTTAAAACGCCCTCTCGCTTGCCACGTTGTAGGCATTCCATACCCAGCTAGTAGCCACCACAGAGAGTGCTGTGAGGGAGGGCGCTGGGTAGGCGTGTACTGGGGTGGGGTGGACAAGGGAAATGAGGGAAGGTCAGTACTGAGGGAAGGGGCAGAGCGAGAGGGTGCACACACACAGGGAAGGTCAGTGGGAGCTGTGAAGTGAAATGTTATTCGCCTGCTCTGCTCCAGAGAATAGAACAATTCCCAAACGATTGCAGCAGCAGCTCCCTTGTAGTATTCCTACAACAGATGTATATCCAACAGAAACCTGTGTTCCAGCATCCGCCTGTTTCACACGGCTCACAGAAAGCTCATGGAAGAGAGGCTTCCAATGCCAGCTGGAATAGGCCCGGTGAGCCGATTCTTGCTTAGATCTCTGTTCACAGCGGGTGGGAAACCGGGCAAGGGCAAGTTTACTGCTCGGACGATCTCCTATGAAGCGATAAATAGATGAAGTTTGGTTGAAAGGTTGGACCAACAGGCCAGGGAAGAAATGACAAGCGGCAAAAACCAGAAAGGATGTGCATTGCAGAGGGTGGCAGGTGTGAGCATGCAGAGTGCATGGGTGCTGCGAGGCAAATCTGGCAACCAACTGCTCAAAGCTCATCCAAGCAGGATCGGAACTGGGAGGAGGCGAGTGCTAGAGACGGGACAGTGATGAAGTGTGACTGTTGTTACAAGCACGTGCATATCATGGGCAAGCGTGACTCAAGCACCATGGCAGCATGATCCCATGTGAGCTTCTTACAGCCATGCCAGTGCAGTGAGTGAGGTGATGGTCTCAGGGATGGAGCCAGTCCAAGAATTGCTGTTTAGTGTCCTGTGTAGGGTGAGTCGGGAAGCGGTGGGGAGACGGTAACAGAGGGCATGGCATGGCAGGAGGAACAGCAAGCACACACAAGCTGGATAATAGAGGAACTACGTGGAGCTGACTGGAGGAGGGAAGACAAGGGAAGAATAGGGACGAGGTTGGTGTTAGTTCAGAATGTAGTTTGCGCGTCAACCTACCGCGTATTATTTGAACACATTGAGGGCAGACGGTTTTTTTTTTTTTTTTTTTTTTTTTTTTTGTATAGGGGATTTGCAAAGTTTTGGGGTTTTTTTTTTCCTGCGTGCTGATGACCTCATGCAAGGCTCGTGCAAGGCTCATGCAAGGCTCATGTGGGGGGTAAGGTAGTCCCCTGAAACCCCAATGAGGCCCTCATGAGAGGCGCATGAATAACGCCCTTGGGCGAAATTTCTGCGCAGCTCAAGGATCGAGCACTGCACTGCACTGTTGAGATCGTGGCTTGAGGTTAATGTTACTCGGGGCGTCAGGGCAACACAGATTCAGTTTCGAGCAGTCGTGGCACTTGACGATAGAGCGCTAGTGCTGCAGGGTGAGCGGGAGGTGGGAGCTCAACTGTCAACATGCACCTTTTGACTGGCTTGCAACTTTCCCCTCATGCTACTCTTTGTTGTAAAATCTTGCTTCCCAGTTGAGAAGATATTTTATTTTACCTCCAGAACTTCAAGCTCCTCTAAGGAGTCTTTAAATAGTGATTGTCAAAGCCCCCCGCCCCCGACAGCTTAAAACCCTCACATTTCCATACACCAGGGGCGTTTTGGAACATGTGTGTCTTCAGCTGCTGAAGTTCAGCATCACTCTAGTTCACATGTGACACGACTTACAAGTATATCAACAAAGAGAGATTTCCAATACCAGCTGGAATTGGCCCGGTGAGCTGATTATTGCTCAAATCTCTGTTTAAAGAGGGTGGGAAAGCGGGCAGGTTTGCTGCTCTGACGATCTCCTATGATGCGATATATGGGTGATTGAATGAAGCAGTCAAAGGGGTGAATACAAGCAGTTTGGCCGAAAAGTTACTCCAAACAGGCTAGAGAAGAAATGACTAATGCCAAATTAAAGAAATGGTGCATACTATAGAGGGCGGAAGGCGTGAGATGAGCATGCAGAGTGCATGGGTGCCGTAAAGCGTATCTGCCAGCCACTCAACGCTCAGCACTCATCCAAGCAGGTTTCTGGAAGGAGGAGATCACTTGAGGTGGGTCAACAGTGAAGTGAAAGCGGTGTCACAACAACAAGCACGTTCATGTCATGGGCAAGCGTGAATCACGCTGCGTGATGCCAACACCATGGCGCCACGGCCCCATGTGAGCTTCTTACAATGTTTCGAGTGCAGTGAGCGAGGCGATGCTGTCGGGAATGGAGCCCGTCAAAGAGTTGTTTCCTAGATTCCTGTGTGGGATGAGTTGGAAGGGGTGGATGGGGAGACGGTAGCAGTGGGCAATGGGCATGGCAGGAGGGAGAGCAAGCACACACAAGCGACCCAAGCGAGTGACGAGACGAGCATGGTGGGAAGCATTGCTCGGCGCACAGAGGAGGACATTCTGCGTTCTAGCCAGTGGTCGGCTGAAGGAAGGAGAACTGGGACGAGGCTGGCGGCTGGGAGAGTGCTGGGAGAGTGCTGGGAAGTGCTGGGAGAGTGCTGGGAGAGTGCTGGGAGAGTGCTGGGAGAGTGCTGGGAGAGTGCTGGGAGAGTGCTGGGAGAGTGCTGGGAGAGTGCTGGGAGAGCGCTGGGAGAGCGCTGGGAGAGTGCTGGGAGAGTGCTGGGAGAGCGCTGGGAGAGTGCTGGGATGGTGCTGGGAGAGTGCTGGGAGGAGAGTGCTGGGAAGACAAGGGAAATGCGGAGCACGAAACTTATGGGCGACAGAGACCGTCAGCTTGCATGCATGGCTGCACATCTGGATGGCACTGGTCGCTGCCATGTTGGGATTCCCAAGTGGTGCATGCGCTTGAAGAGCACTCGGAGCCTTAAAAGGCTTCCAAGTATGGCCCTCAAGTCAAGGTGTACCCCTAGGTCCAGGTGAATCCAAGTATCCTTCTACGCATGCAGCGCCTGACAGCACAGATTAAGATTTGCGCGCTGGTTACTTGAGGACACAGCGACAGCAGTAGTGCAGGGTGGATGGGAGGTGGGTGGATGGGAGGTGGTATTGGCTTACAGACAAATAAATACCACCAGCTACCTGACTAGCTTAAGACCCTCCTCCTTTCATACACCTGGGGCTTATTCAACCAGAACGTGTGGTGTCCTCATCATCAACCTATTCTATACGACTCACAGCAAGACCAAGGAAGAGAGCTTTCCAATACCAGCAGGTATAGGCCCGTTGAGCTGATTGACGCTTAAATCTCTGTCCATAGGGTGGGAAAGTGGGTAGGATTGCTGCTCTGACGACCTCCAATGATGATGCGAATTGGGGGGGCTGCATGAAGGAACCAACGCAAGTGAAAGGCTGGACTGAATGGTCAGGGAAGAAATGCAAAGCAAAGTGACGGCAGGTGTGAGCATGCAGAGTGCATGTGTGCTGCGAAGCGTATCTGTCTGCCAGCCAGTCAACTGCCCAGAGCTCATCCAAGCAGGCACTGGAGACAGGACAGGACAGGTCAGTGATGAAGTGCGAAATGGTGGCACAAGCACGTTCATATCATGGGCAAGTGTGATGCACGCACCATCGCAACATCGCCCCACGTGAGCTTCTTACAGCCATGTCAGTGCAGTGAGCAAGCTGATGCTGTTGGGAATGGAGCCGGTCAAAGAGAGCCCCGTGAGATCCCTGAGTTGAGTGGGATGGTTGGACGTGGTGGGGGGGAGGGAGCAGCGGCCACAGTCATGAGTGAAAGCGAGCTTTCAGGGAACCTTGATACGGCAGGCAGGCAACCACATGATGCACATGTTGAGGCGCTTCAAAACATGATGCACTGCACTCCCTGGTGCGGCAGGCAACTGTCTGCGGGAACCTCAGAGCAAATGCAGTGGCTGACGGCACATTCCGCTCCTGGAATCAACCACTGTGCAGAACGGCGGGGGCTAAGCAGAGCTCACATCGCAGCGGCTGGGTCAGCCGTACGTGCAAGTCCGCTCTGCAGTGTAGACGCTGCAGCAGTTCCAGCCCGCCGCATCAACGCCAGCCTGCTTGCCGGCAGAAGCGTAGATCCCGTTCATGCCAGGTGAAGCTGGCACTCGCGACTGGGAAGTCACGCGGCTAGATGAGGAGGCGTGCTCGCTCGATCTCACACGAGGGAAAGCAGGAAGCTAGATGAGAGGCTTGCACGCACTGCAGTGCACTCACAGTCACTCACAGTCACTCACAGTCACTCACATTCACTCACAGTCACTCACAGTCACTCACAGTCACTCACAGTCACTCACAAGAGGGAAATCATGCCTCTGCTGTCACAGCGAATGGGTGTGGCACATGAGCAAGTTGGATCAGAGGTGACACATGCACAAGGCTCATCCATGGGGTTGAACAGGTTGCAGTCCGCTCCCTGCGTCCACCCCTGGAACGTCCTCCCCCATGCCTTCTGGCAGTCGCTGAGAACCGCCGCTGCCAGTTGGAGACACGAGAGGAGGGGAGCAGAGCAGACGGCAGGGGAGAAGGAGAGTTGGCAAAGACCCCGCGTCCTTGGATAAGCTCCAACCATCCGATGTTCCTTACCCCTTGCACAGTCTGTGACGCCAGTTTGGATTTCCGAGCCGAGGAGGATAGGCACCTGCAATGGCTCCAAGCCAAGTACCTGTGACCGTAGCCACACCTCTCTGCCAGAGACTCTCACACTGAACGTTGGGAGGCTTTCCCCCAGTGAGAAACTCGCCTGTGATCTGTGCGATGATACGAGTTGTGAGGGGGGGGGGGGGGGGGGGGGGGGGGGGTCCTGTCAAAATGAGTCGCAAATGAGGCTCCGAGCCCTTACCAATGAGTCTGGAGCCAAAATCGAGACTGGAATTTGACTCATTTTGCTAGACGGAGCTTTTTTCCGGAGCTGTGCTAGTCTTAGTCCGATTCAAGAGCAGGTATTTTGTGAGGTACCTTGAGTATCTTGGATAGGCAGTACTAGTAGTGCGTGGCACGAGGAGGCGACGGCGACAAGCCAAAGAAAGAAGAGTGGAAGCCATGCCCCCACCATCGCAGAGGGTTTTGGTGGCGGTACTTGCGCGAGGGCGTGCCTCAACCAGACACCTAAACAAATTCTGGGGGCGAGGTGTGCCAGGCTCAGCGAGGAGCTTTCGAAAAAGGAAACGACGAAGTGCTTTAAAAGAAACTTTCTTCAAATCGCCAAGTTTGTGATGTAGTAGTAGCTACGTTCTTGCTAATTAGCTGGAAATTACGGGCTTCAGCTGGAAACGGTGGTGATTCTTTGGAGTTGTAACCCAACTTGTTCATACAACGGCGTTACAAAGAAAGCAGGCTGGGGTTGTTTTTTTGCGACAAGCTAATGAGCAGGCTGCTAGAAAAACCGCGTCGCTTTGCGCTAGGAGAAGTGCGAGACTGGCAGGCGTAAGGGTGTGGTGAGAAAACGAGGCACAGAATTCGCACAAAGCACAGTTGAGCTGCGAGGAGCGTGAGGGAGGGACTAAAAGGCTCTCGATGTCAAGGTAATTACCCTGGTTACCTAAGAAAGGAAGGATAGAAGTTTGGTCATAGCTTTGCTGTACGTGTCAGCAGCGGGCCAGGTTCGGACTAGCAGAAGTCGACGTGTCACCGAACCCCTTGCAAGGGAGAGGATTCCGAACCAGGCCGATTCAAACCGAGTCCGACTTTCACCGCACTCAACCAGACTGGTACTTCATATAGCCCTACCAAGCCGCTTATCATACCGGGGCTCGGATGGCCATAAACTGTTGTAAGGCGGAGGCTTAGGCGGAGCGGAGGTTTTCTTGTCCGTGGTTCCAAACACCGTCCATGACAGTTCCCACGGTGCTTCTCCCCTTATTCCAGCGTTGTTGTGAGTTGGCAGGGCTGGTAGATACTGTATGATACATTTCCGAACGGGTTACCGAGATGTGTGTAAAACAGGGGGTGGGACTGAACATTTTTATGTGTTTCCTTCGACGGATTAGGGTAATTGACCTTACACTCCAAGAATCCAAGAATCCACAAGTTCTGCTCCAAGCCTCCACCAAGAATCCACAACTTCCAGAGCCGTGAACCCCAGCTACCCTCCCCTCACAGCTCAACCAGTCTTGCTGCAGCTCCTAGCACTACTCAAAGACGGAGGGTTTTTTCCCCGGATTGTATCGTCTGCGCTTCATATGATTCGGCCGCCTCCTCTCATAGCTGGTGCACACACTAGTACTACTAACAGTACCACTCCGTCCCCCCAGGGTTGTCGGTCCCACCCCCGCCGGTTCACGCGGCACGGCGGCGCGGCAGATGCCGCAGCCGGAGACAACTGCGACGGAGAGGTCGGCGTGGCTTGCGCTCATCGCGCTTTTGCTTTTCGCCTTCGCCTTCGCCTCCGCGTGCCACGCGCAACAGCTCCACGCCTCTCAAGGTATCTCCCTCACGAAAAACGAGAAATAAAGGCTGCGGGCCGCAAGCCAGCGGCAGCAGGCGCGCCAAGCCGAATTACCGCATTCTCCATCATGAGCAGAGGACGTTGTCGTCCCGGCGACCCCCCCTGGATTTGAGAGCAGGGGACACTGGGTGTGGGAGCAAGCGAAACTGGCGAAACTTTCGCCAGTTGAACAGGCGTAACTGGCGAAACCCAGGTGTTTTGCGATGAAAGCCTCTCGCAGTGGTAGGCACGGCACACGTTGCGATGCTGCCGCCGCGGCGGGTTAGACAGAGCTCCCAACCCAACGCCCTCGTTGGGTCAGGGAGTCGGTCGGCCCTCGCAAGGACCTCGAATTCGCGTGCCCAATTTTGAGGCGCCTCAGAACTGGAGGCTGGAGTTGGCCCTTGCTGGGACCTTAGATTCGCAAGAAGAGGGCGGGCGGGCACTTATGATCGTTCGTCTCCTGGTTCTCCCACAGGATATGACCTCAGCCATGCTTTCACTTCGAGTTCTCTGCATGAGCTTAGCGGCCGCGCGAGAAATGTGCGGAATCAACCCGGCAGGCTCTTTATAGTAGTAATACTACGATTTTTGAGGCGCCTCAAAAAGTAGTAATACCTGTCGCCCCGTTCAGTGTGAGAACATGTGGCAGAGAGCCGTGACCGGGTGCACATGTACTTGGATTGAAGCCATTGCAGGTGCCTAGTATCATCATCGGCTTGGAACCCCAAACTGGCGCCTCAGATTTCGCAGGGGGCAAGAAGGAACATCAGATTGTTGTTGATCAACGAACAACGCCGGCGTTTGCCAACTCTCCTTCTTCCCTCCCTTGCCGTCTGCTCTGCTCCCCTCCTCTCGTGTCTCCAACTGGCAGCGGCGGTTCTCAGCGACTGCCAGAAGGCATGGGGGAGGACGTTCCAGGGGTGGACGCAGGGAGCCGACTGCGGCAACATGCGGAGCACAGGCATTCGCTGTGACACCAGAGGAATGATTTCCCAGTTGTGAGTGCAAGCTTTTGCCTAGCTTCTATGGGATTTTCGTTCCACAGGCTGGTGGCAAGGCAAGCAGGGTGGCGGCAAGCAGGCTGGATTTTATGCATGCTCGCTTCACTTCCGTTGGGCTGTCCTGTGGGGTGCAAGGACCTCTGAAAGCTCGCTTCACTGACGGATGTGCCCACAGCTCCTATCCCGCGTGGCAAACCCTCCCAACACAGGGATCTCACGGGGCTCTCTTTGACCGGCTCCATTCCCAACAGCATCACCTCGCTCACTGCACTGACATGGCTGTAAGAAGCTCACATGCATGAGATGGGATCATGCTGCCATGGTGCTTGTTCATGATGTGAACGTGCTTGTGACGTCATTTCTAATGTCCTCATTGTCCTCGCGCCAGTGCTCTCCTCGTTCCGACTCCAACGCCCTGCTTGGATGAGCTCTGGGCAGTTGAATGGCAGATTCGCTTCGCAGCACCCATGCACTCTGCTGCACTGCACTGCATGCTCACACCTGCCTGCCACCCTCTGCAATGCACATCCTTCCGTCTATTCGGCATGGCTCATTTCTTCCAGTTGGGCAAACCTCTGAACCGAAGTTCTTGTATGATCCACCGGTTTGTCTGCTTCATATCATACAATCGTCCAGTTTGCATCATCATCATCATCATCATCATCATCATCATCATCATCATCATCATCATCATCATCATCATCATCATCATCATCATCATCATCATCATCATCATCATCATCATCATCATCATCATCATCATCATCATCATCATCATCATCATCATCATCATCATCATCATCATCATCATCATCGGAGATCCTCAGAGCAGCAATCCTGCCCACTTTCCCACGCTCTGTGAACAGGCAGTTGAGCTATAATCAGTTCACCGGGCGAATTCCAGCCAGGGTTGGAAACCTCCACTTTCTAAGATTCTTGTAAGTCGTGTGGATCATGTTGAGGAGGACACATGCTTCACTTCAGTTGACATTCTCCTGGTGTATGAGATGCAAAGGGTTTCAAGCTCCCCCCCCGGGCAGCTTTGACCATGAGTGTGAGTGTGGCATTCGTCTTCGGAGCCAAGCCAGTAGGCGCCTGTTGATCTTCCACCTCCCTTTCACCCCGGACCCGGATTACCATCGTGTCCTAGATTGGCAAGCATGGTGGATGTAATCTGTGTTGGCAGGTGCTGCATGCTTGGAAAAAGAGTCGGACTGCACCTCCTGAATGGAAGCCTTTATGGATTCTGGTGCTCGTCAATCAATCACAATTCATGCAGAATTCTTTTCAACTGCACCACCACTACTAGGAGCTTCTTGCATGACAGCGCCGACCAGTTTCGTCGAGAAGTGCTGCAGTCATCTTCCATGCATTCAGAGGGTCTCAGTCGCCCATGAGTTCTTTCCCACATTCTTCATGTCCTCCCAGCCATCTGCCACACCCTCTCCGATACCCTCACACAGCACTGTCCCTTTCCCCCCCTCCAGCCCCTTCTAATCCCTCTTGCCTCCCCCCCTCCCCCCCTCGCCCCCCCTCCATCAGCTAGAGCTGCCTTCATTTCCCCCCATGCCCGCTGCAGAACGCTCTCCCCTGTGCGCCAAGCAAAGCATCCCTTCCCTGGATGGTCGGCTCACCACCACCATGCCTTGGGTCGCTTGTGTGTGCTTGCCCTCTTCCTGCCGGGCCAGCTGTTACCAACCCCCCACCCACTCACATCCAATTAGGCTTGAGCAACGGGTTGAGTCAGGTCGGGTTACCCGACCCGAACCCGACATTTTCCCAGGTCGGGTCAACATTCGTCGCGGAGGGTCGACCCTACCCGACATAACCCGACCCCTCGGGTCGGCTTATTACCCGCCCTGGCCCCTATGCCGCCGACCCGACCCGAACTGACCCGAAACTGGGTCAGGCAGTACTCGACCTACCTGTATTATCCGGGCTGGGTCACCCTAGTGCAAAGGCCGACACGACCTTGACCCAACCCGACCCGAACCCGAACCCGACCTCGGGTGAGGCAAAGTCGGGCCGGGTCGGGTAGATTAGATGCTCAAGCCTATTCCAACTCATTCCACACAGGATACTAGGAAACAACTCTTTGACGGGCTCCATTCCCGAAAGCATCGCCTCGCTCACTGCACTCTCAAGTTTGTACGATAATTAAATGGGTAATTTGGTGATGGCATCTCGCTTGCCCATGATATGACTGTGCTCGTGCCACCATTTCGCACTTCGTCACTGACCTGTCTCCAGAGTGCTCTCCTCCTCACTTCGCAGCACCCATGCTCACACCTGCCACCCTCTGCAATGTGCATCCTTTTAACCTAGCTTACTTCTTGTATCCACCGCTTGGACTGCTTCATTGGAGAACATCAGAGCAGTAAACTTGCCCGGTTTCCCACCCGCTGTCAACAGAGATCTAAGCAAGAATCGGCTCACCGGGCCTATTCCAGCTGGCATTGGAAACCTCTCTTCCTTGAGCTTTTTGTGAGCCATGTGAAGCAGGCTGATGCTTAGTAGGTTAGTACTCAGTTCAGCTTCACTAGAGAGCAGTTGTAAGAATGCCGCTGCAGCTGCTGAAAGAGCAGTCTGTTGTAGTTTGCAGGGCAGAACTCCCCAGCTCACTCCCACTCACCTTCCCTGTGTGTGTGCACCCTCTCGCTCTGCGCCTATCCTCATTTGCCTTGTCCAAACCAGTACACTCCGTTCCAGCGCCCTCCCTCCCACCATCCACATAGTCCCTCTTGTCTCCCCCTCCTGCTATTGGCGTTCCAGAGCTGCTTTTCCCATCCACCATCTCCGTCCCTTTTCTCCCTCAATTTCCTCATTCTTCCCCACTTGGCCCCACCTCTCTCCACTTCCTGCCATTGGCTGAAGCTGCTTCCATTTGCTCCAGTGCGCCAAGAAGTGCTTTCCACCGTGCTCACTGTTACCATCTCCCCACCTCTTCCAACTTACCCCGCACAGAAATCTAGAAGGCAATTCTTTGACGGGCTCCATTCCTGACAGCATCACCTCACTCACTGCACTCGAACAACTGTACGAAGCTCACATGGGAGCATGGTGCGCATGGTGCCGATCCATGGTGCCGATCCATGGTGCCGATCCATGGTGCCGATCCATGGTGCCGATCCATGGTGCCGATCCATGGTGCCGATCCATGTTGCCGAACCATGGTGCCGATCCATGGTGCCGATCAATGGTGCAGATCCATGGTGCCGATCCATGGTGCCGATCCATGGTGGTGCCGATCCATGGTGCCGACCCATGGTGCCGACCCATGGTGCCGATCCATGGTGCCGATCCATGGTGGTGCCGATCCATGGTGCCGACCCATGGTGCCGACCCATGGTGCCGATCCATGGTGCCGATCCATGGTGCCGATCCATGGTGCCGATCCATGGTGCCGATCCATGGTGCCGACCCATGGTGCCGACCCATGGTGCCGACCCATGGTGTGCATGATATGAACTTGCTCACTGCGTTGGTTTGTGACACACACCTGTAAGAAGCTCTTCAGCCATGATTTCTTAGATCCTAGCAGTCCATGCAACAAGCAGCATCATATTTTGACATTCTAGGAGGAGTCCAAACAATGCAACAAGCAGGATTGAATTGTGACATTCTAGCAGTCTCTGCGCAAATATCAGCGTTACATTCTGGCATTTCAAGCAGTCCATGCTGAAGGGAGTCTATTTTTGTGGCGCCTCATTAAAAAAAAAAAAAGAGTCCATGCTGAGCTGAAGGGCATGAGCGGCTGAACTGCAATCCTAGCAGCCCTGCAGGAAGGGTACAGCTGCGACAGCAAGTGATGCAACAGATGGCTGGTGGCTGGGGCGTGGCTGGTGTTGGCCCACATGGCGGGGATGGCCAATGGGTGCTGGTTGGTGGCACAAGGCTGGGGCTTGGCTGGTGTTACATGGCTGGCTGGTGTAATTCTAATTGAGTGTGTATGCTTGATGCCTCAACAACACTCGCCTCCGCTGTCATTGTCCAACATGGTTGATACTCCTATCCTACCTTCTGCCTTTTTTTCTAAATACCTTCTCACTCCCTACCTTCTTTCCTTCCCCCTCTCTCCCCCGATCATTGCTTCACTATCAATCAGATATTTTAGTGGGAATCACTTGGGTGGGTCTATTCCAGCTAATCTTGGCAACATGGTCAGCCTAGTGGGACTGTAAGTATGAAGGCAACCGTACTGCCACCTTTTTTGTTTGGTTGGAGTTGGTGTTTGAGCATTGTCGCTTTTTTTGCAGAGATGGAGGAAGCTCAACGATTTTGTTCTTTCCAAGTCCTTGATTGATGGATGCCTTGTAGTATGCGTCCCACTTGCTGCTGTGGATTGGGAAACCTCCGTTGAAGGTTCTGTGTTGGTTCACAGTTCACTTGCTGTTGTGAGATGGGATCAGGTCTCTGTATGCCAACAACTTGTCAGGACCCATTCCGAAATCAATTGGGCAACTCAGCTGCTCATATATGTAGGTGCTTGACAAATTTCTGAATGCCCTTGTGAAGAATTTCCATGCATGCTCGGACCTTGATGAATGAACCTTGGCTTAGGGCATACTAGCTAGTGGAATATGAAATATGGTGAAGATCCGATATCCAACAGTGCACTCTCGAAGTTTCATAAGGCCCCCCCCCTTAAAAAAAGAGTGAATCGATCAAGATATAAGTTTGATGCACAATATCAACATCGAGTAGGTTTTCATAAGGGTTTTCATAAGGGTTTTTCATAAGTGCGCTAAACCCGAAACCCTGAATGCGCACCACCATGGGCAGAGGTTGACCAGAGAGAGAGAGCAAAAAAAGGGAGGGGGCAGCAGTGAGTGCTGAGGAGCGATGGCAGATGCAAGAGCAAGAAAATTACTAGGTCGTGGGTTGACAGGAGAGGAGAGGAGAGGAGGGGAGAGGAGAGAGCACGGCTGGAGCCTGGAGTGGTGCGGCCGCCCTGCGGGTCATTGAAACGTGGGTGGGGCATGACGATCACAGATTGCTGGAAACGTTGGTTGGTGATCACGCGTGGGGAATAAGAAGATGTGATGTGACTACCATCATCGAATCACCTATGGCATTTGGGAGCATGCGGGTGCTCCAGTGTTTGGTGTCTTCGCTAGCCCTGTTTTGGTAAGTCCTATGGATTGGCTTCATTCCAACAGCGTCGACGAGGGTTTGAAATGATAAGCTTGCTTGACGCATTCTTCTGCTCTTTTCAAGAAATCAAACAAACCTTCACTTCACTCTCCCCAACAACCGTGAGCAGAATGGTAACACAGAAAGTTGTAACGGTTCTCTTGTGCGCATGCTGTCTGCGCGCTCATGCCCATGCGTCTCTCTAGGCCCATACTGCTGCCATGCCGTGCCACCACCTTGTACGGGGCAGGGATACACCATGCTGCTTATTTCTTTCTCAACCCACATGAGCGCCATGTGAGGAGAGAGGACATGCACGTCTGTGGTGTGCTTGAGAATTCTAAAAAACACCCTGTGAGGACATGCACAATGCACGTACACATCCACTCCATGCACATTCCGTTGGCCTATTCATGTAGTGAGATCTCCAATAAGCCTCCTACATGGAGAGGGCGCAAGGAATTTCTGACCCTTTTCCGCCTAATACTGTTCTGAAGCTGTCCCAGCCTCTAAACGCGAATGTCATGTCAAAGTACAAAGACCACTCTTCACTTCGTATGTGAATTCTCGCAGTTTGATCTTCCCCACAATTACTGTCCAAAGTTAACGAAAGGATCCTTCTGTTCTCCCTCTCCCCTCATTTCGTTCCTCTGTTGCTCCACCCACGTTTGGGTTTGGCCATTCACGGACCACCAGCGACTTGAGTGGGAATCAGTTAGATGGGCCCATTCCAGCTACTCTTGGCAGCATAGGCTCTTTAGAGGAGTTGTAAGTATCATGATGACAGCAACCATTCTACTGCGTGATTTAGAGAAGCTGAAAATGCCTGCCCTGCCATTTTGTACTTTGCTCCCGATTCCTTGATGTGTTCATCCACTCCACACTTTCCATTGGGTATATGATAGTTCTCTTGTTGTGGGATCAGGTATCTGCACAACAACAGTCTGTCTGGACCCATCCCGACAGCAATTGGGAAGCTCGGATACATGAGTAAGATGTAAGTGTTCGAAGGAATCTAGAACGCTACTCGTGTAGAGCTCCGACGGTCCTACCTGTGGTTCGATAGTAAAGAACAAGCCTTTCACTGGGGCGTACAAGGGCATATTAGTGGAATGGGAATCAGGGTGGTGACTAAATATCCTAGCAGTACGCTCGAGAAGGTTCATAGGCTATAGAATGTACAAATCGTATTTTTGAGATCGATATTCCATGTGCAACCTCAAAGTGACGACCTAGACATGGGCAATGGCCGAGCCCGGGCCGAGCTGGAGTCGAGCCGAGCCGGGCCCGAGCCTGGTCGAGCCGGTCACAAAGTTTTGCCGGCTCGGCCCACCCAAACAGGGTCGAGCCGGGGGCCGGCTCGCACCCGGGCCGAGCCGAGCAGGGCTTGGCTATAAGCCCATGTCTAATTTTACAGATGCAAGCATTTACTCAATCTAGTCTGCGCAATCTAGTCTTTCTCGTGTGTGAGGCATATTATGGGTTACCACCAGTAGAAGTCGTGCAAGCAGTGCATGTGCACGTGTGTCTCGCAGATGGGAGGGTGGCACTTCCACCTGGGCAAATGCAAAAGTGATGGGCGGCAGCCAGTGTGTGTGCTGCCACCACAGAGTCTGTTGCGGCTGCTAAAGGGGGGTGCATTTACTCCCTTTCGAGCAATTTTTAAAGCAGCGGGAGACGCCCATATGAAAAGGAGGGTTGTCGCGCAGCAAGAAAGACTGCCTCTAGGCTGGTCCTTGCACTGCGGACAGACTAGTTTGCATGCAGCTGGCAAGGACATGTGGCGAGGAACACAGACAGCCCATCAAATGGCTGGGGGGCTAGTGCATACCAGCAGCGACTCACATAATGGCGAGGGGATGGTGCCTGGCCTCGCAGTTCCACAGCACAAGTGACATGCCATGGCAGGGGATCCTGGCTGTGGCGCTGTCAACCCACGAAAGCTGAGTGGATGCCTGGCATGCAGAGCAGCAGAGGGAACTGTCAAGCCACAGGGGGACAGCTGCCATGCAGCGCGAGGAGCTCACGGGAAAAGGGGGCGGCTGGGGAGCGGAATGGCAAGGGGGCAGCTGGCGAGTCGCTGGAGAAGCCGCAGGGATGGGTGGCAGGCTAGCTAGTCGCTGGCAAGCAGCCAGAGAAGGTGGCGAATGCGCGGCAGGTCGACAGTGAGAGTCAAGAGAAGCCCCTCTGAAATGGCAGGCTGGTTGCTGGCAAGCAGCATGAGAAGCCCGCAAGGGGCAGGAAGCCCCCAGAGTGGTGGGTCACTAGTAGCGCTGGGAGTGGCTTAGGAAGAAGCAAAAAGCCACTACTGAATAGTGTGGGGAGTGGCTTCCCAAGGTCTGGCGTTGTTGAACCCACCATGCCGCCAGACTCACCGCCATCCAACCTATTTTTAAATGTACACACGGTTTTGAACGCAGCAAGCTATTGGTGCTCTTCACTTATGATTGGAGAACGCATACTATTCTACGAGTGGTCCCTGATTTTGAACTCCATTTTCTATGCGAAGGAAGCTGGGTCAGAAAGGCGCTCTGATTGATCAATCAAAACGATGTAGGATAACTGAGCGCATGCATGTACGTTTCTGCATTAAAGCCTTCATCAGCGCACTTGGTCGTTCTAAAAGACCCTTTCCCAAGATTTGCTAGTGACACATCAACCAAGGTTTTCTGATTATCATTTTAAATATGTTCAATTCCTTTGCTAAATTCCCCAATGCTCTCCATCCCTATCATTATCCCAGTTTCCTAATGATTATCGAACCTCTTTCCCCCATCCCTCTCCTGTTCCCTCCCATGTTTCTTCCTACCCTCATAACCATTCTTGCATTGCTTTACTCTACCCACGAGTTGCTGGTTGCGGGTTATCAGAGATTTCAGTGGGAATCGCCTAAGTGGGTCCATTCCAGATACTCTTGGAAGCATGTCCAACCTAGTGTTTCTGTAAGTGTCATGGCATATGTAAAAATACTGTATTCTCACTGCTTCCTTGAGATGAATGACAGTGTATTTCAACAGAATCAATCAACAGATGACCACATCGTCTTTTCTGTGCCCGTGATGCCCTGAGTATGTCATGGCTGCCGATTGATAGTGGAAGTTCCTTGGAAGCTGCCCTTTTTAACAAGCGCCCACCCCTGTGTCGTTTCACTTCCCGTTGTGAAATCAGGTCGTTTGAGAACAACAATCTGTCTGGATCTGTCCCAACATCAATCTACGACCTCAGACGGCTGAGTCACATGTGCGCACTTCAAGCCGCACGCACGGCACACTTTTTCTCCGAAGCTCATCATGTTTTGGGGCACTGGTGGTGGTTGGAGCATCGGTTAACCTGGTGACGGTGACTGACTGGAATATATGCAGCATTTCGGTAGCTGGTTGTGCTGCCTCGTTTGTTCGCCACATCCTTGGGCTTCGGAAACCAACTGTCCAAAACCCCTCTCCCATAGCACCGCCTGTTTTCCGGCCTCCTGGAATGATTGATGGGGGAATGGACACATGTGCTTATAGGGGGGAGGGAGGAGGGGACAAATGAAAAGTTTCATGCGTGAGTGAGTGTGGCCAAATATTTGCACTGTTTAATGGGTGAGAAACAAATTAAAGCACCCAATTCAACTCAATTCGCCTGGTGGCGAGGTACATAGTAACTAAGCTTGCATGGAGCCACAGCATGATTTGTAAATCGAAACAGAAGTCCTCAGATATGCCCTCACTTCAACACTTTGTGGATTACAGAACCCTATAGTTGGTGATTGGTTCTGATGTTACCAATGGTGCTCCTCATTGTGAAAGCTCTCTCCCGTTCTTTGCTAGCGCCATTGCCTGCACTGAGCACTCTGAATTGTTAGAAATGCTTTTCCTCCATCAAAACCGTTGTGATTCCCATGTGCACCCGCCTTCCATTCGTGAGGAGTCTATTTTTGAGGCGCCTCAAAAATGGTTTCCCATGTGCGCCCGCCTTCCATTGTTATCGCATCAGATTACTTGGCAGCAACGGATTGGGCGGCACCATTCCCGATTCCATCACCAGCCTCCCCAATCTGGAAATCTTGTATGTGCTTCACTCACTGCTTATTGCTGGAATGAGAGTAGACGCCATAAAATTGATGTTGAAACACCAGAGAGGCCTTCTTAGATATTGGGTGCATGTCCATGGTGATTTTATCTCTAAGGAAATACTCTCTCTTTTAACCTTATGCGTTTGTTTCGTGGCTGTATTGTCATTGTCCGCCACCAAGAGTTTGCTTCCGTGCACGGTGCGTGCGTGCACTAGCCACAAACGACTACTCTTCTGGCTAGCTCGACCGTCAAACTACAGTTACTGTTTTAAAGGGATTCAAGCACATTCCTATTTTACCGAAACGCGTCATGCTCTTAGTCTGGCACAAACCCTTGGGTTCTCCTTATGCCCGTTCCATTGCTGTTTGCTTGTTCACATACCTGCAGAAAGTTGTCCAGTAACAAGTTGAGCGGGACCATTCCAAGCACCATGCAGAGCCTCAGCAATCTCAAATCCCTGTAAGCCGCTCTCTCGCTAGTCTTCAGAAATGGCATCATGCAGTACAACTGCGGTCTAGACTCTAGACGCCAGGACTTCTCACAAGCCTCTACACCTTGGGACCCCCGTCCTATATTATTTTGAGGCTGCATGTCTTGAGGAATCTTATACTACGTCCTGTATTTGTTTTCATGAGCAGCCACATGAATGATAACCGATTCGTCGGCTCTATCCCAGCAGGCATCATCAACCTACCGGAGTTGACGGAACTGTGTGTAACCCTTCGCCTTCTGAAAGAATGCCACTCTTCGCTCTGTAGGAAGGACTGTGATGTGAAGGGCACAAAAGCAATCTGGAGTGGGGGAAGGACGCAGTTAACAGCGTCGGGGGCTAGGAAGGATGAGCATTCTGGTTGAGCAATCAGCCAGTGCTGACATATATATACACATATATATGCTGACATGTTTGTGTTTTGCGTATGTATGTGTTTGTGCACGTTTATAGAGAGGACTCATTGGGAAATGGTGATGAAGTAATGAATGGGTTCTAGCATTGTTGCTGACCGTTTCTCCCAGGGATCTTGGCAACAATATGCTCAATGGCTTCATACCTGAAATCCTCCATCAACTCTCTGCTCGAACATATATGTGAGCGGCCTCGATTGATACGAGCCATCATTCCCCGTTGTGCACATGACTGTGCAATATGGCATGCTTGTTATTTGACATAAATGCTTTCTACATATTCCAAACTCGCCAGGAGTTTTGGACCTTCTATCACCTTCGAAATACCAAGTCAAAACTCCAAATTAACGGTTTTCCTTACTTTTGTGTGGCATCCCACGCTGGCTATGCTGTACATTGCAGCAAATTTTTGCCTGTATCATGAGTCCCCTATGTTGCTCTACGTCGTTGACTCTGCTCGTGTATGTATCTCTCCTGTGCTTGTCATGTTCCTTCTCCCTTCAGGGTGTTGAGTGGTAATCAGCTGAGTGGGCCCATCCCCACCTCTATGGCCTACTGCAGTCAGCTGCAGCGTCTGTGGGTTCCCATGTTGATCTCTGTGGATCTGCTGCTACTTTCCGTGGATTGGCAGTGGGCTCTGGTGCACGTAGTGCCATTGTTGCCCTTGCTGCTGCTGCCATTCTATCACAAGTCTATTGGAGACATGCTGCAATCCCGAATTGGGCAAATTCAAGTGCTGTTGCGCTGACAGATTCTCTTTCTTTCTTTCTTTCTTTCTTTCTTTCTTTCTTCATGGGGTATTTGTGACGTGTTCCAGGTGGCTGGACAACAACTCATTGAGCGGGCCTCTCCCAGATACGTTTAGCACCTTGTCGAGGCTTACCTCCTTGTATGCAGATGATGGCAACTGTTTCCGGCCATGAGCGCCTTTGATGGGTCGAATCTAGCCGGGTTTCCAGAGTCATGTCAACTAGCCTTTTGGAATTTTAGCCTTCTAGCGGTAGTTAGTGGGGGAGGGCGTTCTCACTCACCCTCAAGCACCTAAAGCCCTTCCCCTCCTGTAATCTGTATGCCACTCTCCGTACTCCATCCGCCTGTTTCCTATTCGTGATTGCTGCAGGAGAGTCGGCCATACGAGCCTTAATGGAACGTTGCCAAACTACATTGGCGGGTTCACTTTGCTGAGCCTACTGTACGTGATGCACCGGAAGTCCACATAATCGATTCCTAGGTGACGACAGACGGTTAAGGAAAGCAAGTATGAGTCCTTTAGGCTAGTAGACAAATCGTTGAGTATACTTCATATGAGTTCTCAAATACTTAGATGCGTACCTTGTGCTGCTGCACTTCATGCACAAGTATGTATAGGGATACAGTGCAGTGTATGGGCGTACTACATTCAGACCATGGCAATGTGCTGAGAAATCTTCCCGAGGTTCAGCATGTCATGTGTAGTAGAGCTGTAAATAAGCATGTGCTACCTCCTTCCAATGGCAGCCCCTTCCAACCTGACCTTGCCTGCCACACCACCTTTGTCATGGCTCTGCGCAAGAAGAGCGTTCATTCATAGCAGTTGCCTATAGTTGAAGAATATCGACTTAAACGAGATTGGGTTGGTTTCTGTGCATGCTTCCACATAAATTCCTCGGCACCCAGTGTTGGGCGCTTGTCGACTATTCAAGTACCCATGAAATAACACTCACGAATAATTCGTGAAGAAAGTACCGGCTAATGTGAATCGGGTGTAGATACAGCTCGAGTACTGTGTGTGTGTGTGCGTGTATGTACTTATGTTCTCCCTTGGGGACGGACGGACCATGCATCGCATTGCATAAGATGGGACCCTGCATGGTGGTGGGTGCAGAGTTTGCTTGCAACCTTGGCGAACGAGTACATTGGTTAATTGGTTCGAAACGAATGTACATTGGTTTGGAACAGCATCCTTGGCGATTCGAATGGAATGGACTCGTACCATCACACTTGCTGAGATGCTTTTGATAGAACTGTGCTCATGTTTGGTATATTGTGCTGCTAGATTTAGCAATCTTGCTGCAAAATCCGAAAGCTCTGCATGGCCGACAGCTGTTGCTGAGGGAGATTGCCAGGAGATTGGAATCTCAGCTTTGAACCCATCAGCATTCCTTTTGATTTTCATATTCCCCTCCCCCTTTTTCATTGCAGCAATGTCAACGGCACAAACCTCACATGCCCCGCTGACCACACCAGTTGTGGCCCAACTCAATCGCAGAGATCAGTCTTTTGTCAGGAGTGTCCTTCCTTCTGTGACACTTGTGGCAAACCAGCAGGTATATTTGCGTCTGTTCAAGCTACACTCAGCAGAACAAGGGCGGCAAGCACGTTGTCATACAACACGGCAACACGGCATGACACAATGTGTGTGTGATAGGTCCCTTCGTACTGGGACTTGGATATGTATTGGGCCTTCACAAAACCTCGTCTGCTGCATGCATGCTGATAGTTGCTAGGAGATTCCACGTCAGCTATCTTCAGACTTCAGCACATGCACGCTATTTCTTAGGCTATTTTTTTCAGCACATTTAGGCGCCACAAAACAGGCTGCAGCAGTTTGGAGTGGATGTGTGCACCACTCACTCATCTGAGCCTTTGCGGTGCAAGATTTTGCAATGCTTGTCATGCATGCTCAGTCTTGCTGCTCGTTTGCTTGCATCTCCCTCAGTTCTGCGGTAGCTTCTGACGCATCGCAACTCCCATCCTTGGGATTGATATGTGATCATGCAGAAGCAACCAGCAACTCCAGCAGCAGTAGTGGGGCTTCCACCACCACCGACACCAGCAGCAGCAGCAGCAGCGAGTCTTCTTCAGCAGCGGCATCTTCTGGAGGAGGCGCATCGGTGGGAGTCATCATTGGCATCGTTGTTGCTGCTGTGGTCATTCTCCTGATGATTCTGGCTGGCGTGCTGCTCTGCCTCAGGCACAAGAGGCAGCAGAGGCCAAAAGGTAGGAAGACGCCTGGCTCTCAGGTGGCTCTGTAGTCGATCATTCGTGCTTGTAGCCAACACATGCAGAAAGACGATACATTGTACCTTCTGCGTGTGCCGCCTTTCGCCCTTTACTTCCCACCCAGGCATGGCTGGCAGCCTAGCAGCCTCCCACTGCACGGAGTTCTCTCTGGCTGAGGTCCTCAAGGCCACCAACAACTGGTCGGAGGACAATCAGCTTGGCTCGGGTGCCTTTGGTGATGTCTACAAGGGCGTGTCTCCCCGCGATGGCACCACAGTGTGGGCTGTGAAGCGAGCCAAGCTGATCGACGTGGACTTTCAGAGGGAGGTGGGTGAGCCGCACCTGATGTTCTGGCTGGTATGCAGCTGATCCACGTGGACTTCCACACGGAGGTAAGCTGCTGTTAGGGAGATGGCTTACTGGAGGCGCTGTACACGAGGACTTCCAGAGGGAGATGGGTGAGCTGTGTGTGGGGGTCTCGTGTTCCAATGGATGCTTCTTTCAATCCCATGCCATCAAGTCCATCAAGCAGAACAAACACAAATCCAGTTGTTGTTGCTCAGCAGCTTTCTCACTCTCCCTGCTGCTTCTCTGTGCTCTTTTTGTTCCAGATCCAGCAGATGGCCGACAAGAACCATCCTAACCTTGTGCGGCTGCTTGGATTTGCAATCGGAGGGGACATGAGGACACGGCCGGAGCAAGTCCTCATCTACGAGTTTGTGCCTAACGGTGACCTCCAGACGTGGATCGATCCAAGTGCGTGCTTTTGCTGCTTTTAGGTGCTAAAGTTCGTCTGTCTGCACAGCTTTTGACTCAACCCTCCTATCTGTACTGCTACATGTTTCTTCCTGTCACGCTATTTGACTCATGCTGGCGATCTTGCAGACAAGACGCCCTCCCCTCTGAGTCTGCAGCAGCGGCTGGACATTCTCATTGGTGCTGCACATGGTCTCAAGTACCTCCACAGCTTTGGCGTTGTGCATCGCGACATCAAACCCGCCAACATCCTCATTGGAGACGACATGCAGGCAAGCTTTTGCCAAGCACATTGAGGGAGCAACAGAGTAGGTTGGAACTGGTGCACGGTGCTTATGTTAAATCCACTTTGCATCTCCATTTTGCTCCGTAGAACATGACACGTCTCTTACGCAACCTCTTGCTGCAATGATCCAACCACCCACCAGGCCAAGGTTGCAGACTTCGGGCTTATGAGGCCAGGGGAGGGCAGTACAGTGGGAGTGGGCCCCACACAAGTCATGGGAACACCGGGCTATGTGGATCCCATGCACTCCCAGACATCCAAGGCAACCACTGCCAGTGACGTCTACAGGTGATCTAGGAGTCAGAGGGAGACGACTACAGTTGTCTCATCTCCTGTTTTGATGGTTTCGTTACATTACTCGTTACTCTTGTGTGTGGGCCTACCGGTATGTTTGTACCCCGGTGCATGCTTTTGAGTCGACTCAACAGTTACCCCAGAGCATGCCAATCGTGTCATTGCCCTGGCGTGGCATGCGTCAGGCATCTCAAAACTGACTGCCGTGGCATGTGTGGGCCTACCGGTATGTTTAGCCTAACACCCGGGGGTTTCTTTGTTGTAGGGTGGTGTGGTGTGGATCGCTGTTCGGGCTAAACTCCGCCCTACAAAGCCATCAATATCTTGTCGTTATCAACACCCCTCCCCCTTTGCAGCTTTGGTGTGCTCATGCTTGTGGTGCTCACTGGTCGCCCTCCACTCTCTGATTCCTTACGGGAGAGCAGCCACATCCTGTCATTGGTGAGTGTCAAAGCGAGCTGCTAGGCTAGAAATGTTTGTGTTTGGTATCTCTGTATTCTGGCATGGGTGATTTATCCATGCTAAAATCACCCAAACACAAACATGCTACATCAAAGTGACTGCATTGGATAGTCATCATGCGTTGGTGTGTAAGCTGGGGTTCCTGCAGCTCTAGAGATCGCATCCCCTCTCTTCAATTCCGCCCTTTCTCACGCCTCCTCAGGCATCTGAGAGTCTGTCCTCCGGCACTGCAGCCTCTCTCAAGAACCCCAAGATGGAGGCCCCTGGGGATGCTGTGCTGCGCGTGGCTGAGCTGGCGATCAGCTGCACCGTGGAGCGCACTGCAAGCCGCCCAACCATGGCTCACGTTGCCAACGAGCTGCAGGCCATCCGGGAGGAGGTGGCGGGGAAGGACGAGCTGAGCGCTGCAGTTAAGGTGGATGTGCAGATCCAGGAGATGAAGGACGCAGTTGCAGGTGTGGGGAGCCTGGATGCGGAACTCCAGTTGATTGGTAACCGCTTTTCTACTTGAACCTCGGTGTAAATCCATGAAGCGGTGACTCTCAGAGGGTTCGTACCCATCAGGCAAGCTGTTGCTCTGCCGGCCCGTGCGGAGTTGGGCTTGGCCGGATGTTAGTGTGTGAGCGTTCGGTTTGGGTGCAGCTGTGTTAGCAATGGCTTCATTTTTCCATTCTGCCCGTGATACTGCTAGGGATGGCGTCGGCATGGTTAAGGCCTGGTTCAGCCGATCCATGTGGGGCTGAAAGGGTCTTGTTGTGACTTGTCTGCAGAGCAGGTGATTGGGTCCACACCACACACTTCTTGGGCCATACTCGTCAGAGTTGGGGGCTGGTGAAGTGATGTTGTCTGGAGTGGGGCTGGTGTATGTACAAACAGTTACATATGGATAACTGTGTGTAGTGTGCATGGATTGCATTGCATTGAATCAATCTCTACTTTAGACAGTAGTAATTTATCTATATTTATTTTACTCCAATGCATATCATGTGTGGTGGATTCATCTGGAGGGGAGTTAGAATAGAATGCTAGAATCGGTAGGAAGTGGTAGGCGCCATGAAATGGCGAGAGGTTTTAGGAGCTAGGAACTAGGAGCGAGAGTTGAGAGAAAAAAGGGAGAACTAGAAAGAGAGAGGGATACAAGGAGGGGATTGTACCCTCTACAGTAGAGTTTGATAACCTACCAAGCCTACCAAACCAATCATATAACACCATATATAATTTAACAAGGAGGGGCTCTTTAGCCCGGGTAATTTTGCTCGCATCACCATATCAAAATCCTTCTACAGGTGCAAAGGTTGCAGCGGCAGCGGTTCGGGCGCCTGAAGCATGTGGTATGATGAGATGACAGTCAATGCCCTCATGCCATGCCACTATTAAACAGGAGGCCCAGGAGCCAGGCAGAACTGAAGTCACTGCCCTTTCACACAGGACTGGGCTTGCTGCTTTGAGATGGTACTAAATTGTTGGGGCTCAAGGTTGGGTGCTTGCAATGTGGGCAAACCAAGTTGTCTTGGCCAATGACTCTTGACTATCACTTCTGAAACGCGCAATACACAAATGCACCAACAGGCACACGCGGCATATGCATGCATGCGCACACGCATCCATCCATGCATACACAAAAAACGAATATACACTATGCACACACTAATGAGCAAGCCACTGACACACACACGGCACACACAAAGCCACACACACACACACACATACTCTACAAATCTACAGCACTCGCAGCACGGCCGTGACAGCAGCATGGTCCGAGAGGTCGTAGTCCGAGGGCCATGTGCCGTGCTGCATCTCAGGAGGAAACAGCTCAGCAGTTTCCACTGCCAACTCACGCGTTTCTCCTGATCCACACTCCACCTGCTGCTGCAGCAGCTGCTGCTGCTGCTGCTGGCCTTGCTGGCCTTGTCGGTTGGGGTTATACCCACACTCCTCGCAGTCCGCATGGTCACAGTCACAGTTCCAGCACTCCCCTGTGCCTGCCTTCTCCCCAACAGCACTGTAGATGTCAGGGACCGCCACAGCTACAGCAGAGGCAGCAGCAGTAGCCACCACCATGGGCCCATGCCGTCCAAGAGTTGTGGGGAACGAGGACGCCTGGGGGACGGGCCACTCAGGCGATCCGAAGAGAGAACTGGCGGAACCGGCAGGGGCGAAAGCAGAATCTGGAAATGTTTCGGGGCCGGTGCCACAGATGGAATCAGCAACAGAAGATGAGCCAGGGAAGAGCGCATCCATCTTGATGGCCTGCTGCAGTGCCTGCACGCCACGCTTCACTGGGCACCTGCTCTCACCCTGCTGCTGCTGCTGCTCCTGCCACAGCTGCAGCCACGGCTGCTGCCAGATCGTCTGAGAGCTCTCAAAAAGCGGCTCCTGCTGCTGCTGCTGCTGCTGGTGCTGCGGGCGGGGCTGCTGCCAGGGCTGCTCGTGGATCCCGGTGGCCTTGCAGATGCGGGCGAAGGTGTCCTCCATGGACTCGGTGCGCAGCAGCAGCTTGAACTCCTCATAGTCCACTGCGCCGCAACCGTTCACGTCCGCGCGCCGCACCAGCTGCTCTATCTCCTCACGCGTCAGACCCACACTGTCCTCGCCAGTCAGGCCGAGCTGAGGGGAACAAGTAGGAAGTGGAGAGAGGGGGGCAAGGGAGAGTGGGGATCAGACATTAGTTTCTCAACGCACCAGCTGCTATATCTCCGCACGCGTCAGCCCCACACTGTCCTCGCCAGTCAGGCCGAGCTGGGAAGGAGGTAGGGGAGACAGTGTGAGCGGGTAGGGAAGTGAGAGACAGTGTGAGTGAAGAGATAGTGGAGACTCGGGGTGTGAAGACGAGGAGGTTGAGGACGAGCGTGAGGCGGGTAGCACTGGATTGCGCAGGAAGGGAAGCTGCTTGTAGGAGGAGCATCTAGTAGGCGAGTGAAAAACGAAAAGAAGACTTGTTCACTTCAAAAGCTCAGCCCAGATCAGCTCAGCTTGGTTCAGCTCGGCTGAGATCAGATCACCTCAGCGTGGCCGTCTCACCTCGTCCATGGCATAGGCGAACTCCTCTGGGGTGATGCAGTCGTAGTCCTTCTGCTGCTGGCGCAGCTGCTGTGCAGTGACCGCGCCAGGTGAGTGAGTGCCAGCTGCCTGGAAGAACTCAAACGCCTGCCTCTCCTCCGTTATCCCCGCTTCGACCAGCTTCGCCTGGAGAACAAAGGGCAGTGACAGGAATGCAGGGAGACAGTCAGGTGAGTGAGAAGCCAGGCGAGATGAGAGGGACGATGGCAAGGAGTGGGCAAGGTGGAGTGAGGAAGACAAAGGTGGGGGGGTCTTACTGGGAGAAGGGAAGGGGACGCCGGCGAGTGCAGCAGTGTAAGAGATGAAGGAGCGGAGGGTGATGGAGATGCACACGCACAAGCACCCCCCCCCCCCCCCGGTACCCTCCTTAACCCCCCCCCCTTCCCCCCGCCTTCCCCACTATAGCGCGCACCTTGATCATGCGGAACACAGCGGCCTTCCAGTCGGCGGTGAGCGGGGCGTGCAGCTGCTGCGAGGGGTTGAGCAGCCAGATGAAGTCCACACCCACCTCCTCGCCGTGGTGGTTGCGGTGCGACACCCACTGTAAGCACACGCACGTGCAGTCACACGGGGCTTGTAAGCACACGACAACAAGGGCGAATTGTCGCGCGGCGTGAGTAGCAGAAACATCGCGAAAGTGACGGCAGATGAAAGCGAACGGTGTGAATCGGCAACGTCCTGCTTTGCCCAGTCGACGTGCGTGGTAGCGTGAGTGTTGTCAAACTTCGAACAGTACTCAGACGTTGTTGTGTGAGACAACATACGTTGCTAGCGTCCTCGAGATCGTCATGGCGGCCCTGTGCGCTGTCGTAGCACGACACGAAGCCCTGCGACCGCAGGAAGCGACACACCTCACCGTCCAACGGGCCGTTCAGGTCGCTGCATGGGGAGACGAAGAGACATCGCACCAAAAGGGAGATCGAGTGAGAGAGGAGAGGAGAGGAGAGGAGAGGAGAGGAACAAAACAACGCACCATGAGGGGCCTTTGTAAGTTTGGCAACAGATCTCCTCCCTCGTGCTGCGAGAGACCGAGGACCCAAACTTAATAAGGCCCTCAAAGGGGAGGCGCACGTGGATGAGCAGAAACAGCAGGTGTTAACTTACCCTGCGAGCAGGATGGGCAGCGCGCCGAGTCCGTGCGCGTGCTTGTACGCGTCCACGTACTCGAGGATCTTGTACACCTCGCGCAGCCGAATGACGCTCGAGTTGGCGTTGTGCGGGAACAGCAGGTGCGTGTTGATCACCATCACCTCGCGCCCCTCCCCTGCTGCTGCCGCCGCATCACCACCATCACCGGAACCAGCACCGCTGCTGCTCGATCGTTCCTCGTCATGATCGTCGTCGCACAGTCCCTTTCCCCCCGACGCGCCCTTGACGCGCAAGCGCAGCAGTTGCGCCACGCGGTCGCCGCAGTCGTGGAACAGAATCGGCTCGTAGTCCACCACGCTCACCACCTCCCTCTCCGCCGCCGCCGCCGCCGCTTCGCCCCCCGGCGCTTGGCCGGCGGCGCGCGCGCCGGTGCCGGCGCTCGTGCGGACGGCGGTGAGCAGCCCGTCGCCGCGGGAGTTGGTGCGGGGCAGCTTGTAGAGCGTGTAGCCGGAGGCTTGCAGCTGCGACTCGTACAGTCGCTCGAGGTCGCCGCCGTCGAACCAGAACTCCTGCAGGCACACGACGGACGACTGCAACGACAGAAGCAGGTCCACTATGCGACGGTTGCGATCGCGCCACAGGTGGTCGCACGCGCTCTCGCGCTCGCCCTGTGGGGGATGAGGACACATGGGGGGAGGGCAGGGGAACGCGAGGAGAGATAAACGGGAGCGAAGCAGGGAGAGAAACAGGGGGATACTAAGATCATCGTTATTGGCGGGGAGATCAGACTAAAGAATTAATCGCAACAAGCGCTAAAACAAGCCATGGCCTGTCAACCTTCCAATTTCACTCCTTTCTTATTAAGCCATAGCCAAAAACGCTTCCTCTTCCTCCCCATCCCAGTCCCAACCGCCCTGCCCCTTTCCCTCCACAGCATTCCCCCTCCCCCAATTTCCTCCCGCCCGGCGCATCAGCGTGCTTTACCTCGCTGCCCAGCCGCTTGTAGATGGGCGCGAGGATGTTGAACGTCGTCAGCGACAGCGTGGACGACGTCGCTGACGTGGCTCGAGACACGTCAGCGGCACGAGCCCCAGCGGCGCTGCAGACGACGCGCAGCCTCGGGAATACCGACGGCGACGGCGATCTTATCCCCGCGCGCCGCTGGTCTCTCCGCCGCGCGGGCGCCTGGAATTCAAACGTGCACGTTTGACATGCGACGGCGCTCGTCTGAAAACGATTCGTGTCGCGGGAGCGATGGGAGTGGCGGTGGGTTTGTAGTTGCGGCGGGGCGAAGCGCCCGGCCAGCCTCGCGGCGTTACCGCTCTGCGCGCGGCTGCTCCCCGCGCCGCTGATGCTGACTCCGCCGGCGCTGCCGCAGCACCTGACGCACGCACTTGCCGCATATGCCCGAGACGATGATGATGATGTCATTAGCGCTGTTGCTGACGCGCGGCGGCAGTTGCCGTCCAGGGAGTGGTTGCTGGACCAGCATGATAGCGACGCGACGCTCGTAGCGCGCGCGTCAGGGGCGGTGGGGCGGACGGAGGTGGTGATGGCGGCAGAGAGCGGCGCGGAGACCGCTGCTACGGGCACGCGGGAGACAGCAACAGAACTCATGGCGAATTACTCTGCTAGAACGGATTGCTTACGGTGGGAATTGCGAGGGAGCTGCGACTCTTGTAGGGCAGAAAGAGATTCGAAAGAGTGTAAAAGAATCGGGCGAGCCTGAGGCAGAGATCCTGGCGTGTATGGGAGGTAGAGAAGAACCACCTACTACTACTGTCTGTACACTGGTTTCACGGCTTCACATTCACACACACTCGGTTCTTGGGCACCGATGGTTGTGCTGTGCGGCCTTAGCTGTCATGAAATTGCGCGAGTACTTTCGCTGATTGGCCTCGCTCGGTTGCTAGCTCGCGTGCTAGCTTCGTCAATCATGTCGGAAGCGAGTGACATGGACTGATGGATGGAGCTGGTGTTTTTCATTCCGTTCACATCAGAGGAGCGTTTGTGGGCATTATTGGGGAGTGGTGGAAGGGATAGATGGTGGTGGGGGAAGTGGGGGGAGGTGAGGTGACGGACTCTGGTTGACTGGCGCACGCATTGGCGAAACACGCTGGGGCAGACAACAAAAACCAAATTCACACAACCAGCCAGAGCAGCACTGCGCTCCGCCCCGCACGGTTCGCCTTCGCGCATGGCTCTGCCCAACACCCCTGGTCCCCACTTCGGCCCAGAGTGAAACCCCCCTCGTCCCCACGGCTGACCGCGACACTTGGACCTCACTCCCTCCCACTGGCTTCACAGCTCTCCCTGCTCTCATCTCACTCAGTTTCCCTCCGCGAACAGGGTTCCCCCAGCCATTCCCACACGCACTTAGCCAGCTCTCAGCCAGCTGCTCCACCCTCCCAGACGTTTCACATGTTGCTGCGTTGGCGTGGAAGAGTACAGCGCTGGCAGCGGGGAAGTGTTTGGTGGTTCCTCATTGGCTGGTACCCAAATTCTAAAGCTTATTTGAGCAGCTTCCCACCGTCGATATGCGTTTCTTTTTCTCGCCGTCCATGTCCCCCATCACCGCCTGCTGCCCTTGCGTGAAAGGAGGCTCGCGACTGGTCCGGATCTTTTTGCGCTCAACGTGACGCGCGCCAATTTTTTGAAGAGCCGTTGGCTGACTCTTTGCCGCATCAGCGAGCCCGCATTGCGTTGTCATTTGACTCATGCTCGTGATGGATGGTTGGGATGGAATTTTGCGTTTCTTCTCTCCAGGCGCCCGCGACGCGGCCAAGGGGAAGCACCTGCCCCTGCCAGCACATGACATGATTCGTTCCTCGTCTGACTGACCCCACCGCAGGTGGCCTGCTCTGCCCAATGCCCATCCAGGGGAGCCGCGCAGTTTCATGATTGCAGTACAGTGAAACTGGCTGCAGGTGCCTTCCCACGCCACATACAGACCCCTCTATGCTGATGTGTCGACCTACGTACCATTGATCTGACACATCCGTGGAAGCTGACGTGACAGTGACACTTGCGAAGCGGGGCGTCGAAGTGATGCACTGAAAACCTGGAGCTGAGCAAGCCACCGTGTCGGTCGAGCATTCCACCTCAGCGTGGGCTACCAGAGACCATGTGCCGTCGAACAATCTCATTTGAGCGTGGAGGTTTGAAACTTGCGTCGACTCAGCCACACGCCCGCACAGAACTTTCCGCCAGCATAGCAGCGTCCTTCTCACGAAACCCACGAAGGACCTGGCAGAAAAAGGATGTGAGTTCGTGTGCAATTGCTCCCCCATGAAGACTTTCCAACGTGGATTGTTTCTGATTCTCCTGAATGGTGGGAGATGACCACACCCGCTAATCGTGAGCCAGTCACCGAATAATCAATTCCACCCGCAAAAGCTTGCCACTGCAATCCGTCCACACGAAACCAGCCAGTTGAAACAAAGGAAAAAATATTGTACGGAGACAAGTGCACGTACGGCCCTAGCAACTTTTGTCAGCGCAACAACACGCTTTTGGTTTCTTTCTGTTCCCTTCGGTTCAGTTGCAATTCCGTTTCGTTCCGTTCCGTTACTTGTGCAGCCCATAAAATGTGTCTGCACAATATGACCTAGCAATAATGTGCTGTTTGTTGGAAATACCTCAAGGACTTGAGCGTTTCTGAAGTGTAACACCACACTCGAGGAAGGTCGTAACGGGTAAGCGAGTCAACGGAGGTTACACGAGGGGGCGGACAAAGAACACGAAAGGAATCGAAGGGTCGCAACTGGAGGTTGCGACTGACAGTTACAACTGCAAATATGGTAACTGTTATGATTTGGAAGATGTCAAATGTACTGTAATGAGAATACAACGTCACTATTGCCCTGAAAGCACAAGGTTATATAGGAGTGGCCGTAATAGGGCGATAACCCCGGGACATGGAAAGGTTCGGCAACATGGCGACGCTGTCGGACGCGACTCGAGGAAGGGTTGGGCCGAAATTGTAGGCCGAACGTGACGAGTCGAAGTGTTCGGGCGTACGCGGTAGCGGGCGACTCAGTAACGAATGGAAATTCCTTACACTATCCCCCCCTCCTAAACGAGGCCCTGGGCATCGGAGACATTCCGACGATGGTAATATGCCGTTAGAATCGGATGTGATTCTAAATCAGCGAGGGGCACCCAGCTGTCGTCTTCGGATGTGCGATCGCGCCAGCGGACGAGGAAATCAACCATCCGACGGTTCAGCTGCGTGGTGACGCGATGGCCGAGAATTTTCAAGGGCTCGGTCGTCGGTTCCTGCAGAGGCGTCAGTTGCGGTACTCCACGGTTGCGTGCCACGGCCGACGAACTCGGGACGTAGGGTCGTAGAAGACTGACGTGGAAAGCCGGATGATGGCGCCAATCAGCCGGGAGCCGAAGGTGTACAGTGACAGGTGTCACGAGGTTGGTCACTTGAAAAGGTCCGCAGAATCTTGGTCGGAGCTTGTTCGGGATCGGCAGTCGCAAATTGCGAGTGTCGAGAAGGACCATGTCGCCCACGTGGTAAGTGGCGTCGCGCCGATGTCGATCGGCTTGTCGGCTTGCGACGAGGTTGGCTTTCCGAATGGCCTCAGCGGTTTTTTCGCGAGTGGCGAGAATGTCTTCAGCAAATTTCTGAGACCGGGGCACGGGTGACCCGATATTCGGTGTAGAGGGTACTACCGGGTCCTGTCCGTAGTTGAGGAAGAATGGGGATTGGTTTGTTGTGGCTGAGGTCGCGTTATTATACGCGAATTCCAGTAGCGGCAGGGAGTTCTCCCATGTCGATGGGTCAGTGCAGGTGGTGCGGATAAGCTGCTCCATGGTTTGGTTAACGCGTTCGGTTTGCCCGTCGGTTTGCGGGTGGTAGGCGGAGGAAAATTAGAGCTTGGTGCCGAATTGGTCCCACAGGTGGCGCCAAAAATTCGATGTGAATTTTGGGTCTCGGTCCGAAATGATGGCGGAGGGCAGTCCGTGCAGTCGGATGACGTTCGCGATGAACAGCTGCGCCGTTTGTTCGGCGGTGATGGTCTTCGGGTCGACTTGGTGGGAGTCCTGCGGGTAGGTCGTCCGGGAAAATCGCGGGGTATTTTCGAATGAGTTCCGCTAAATCCGGAGGAACGGCTTCACACAGCTTCGTGATATCTTCCGCTGTTATCGGTGACGTTACTTCACGAAGATCGACGGCGTACGCTGCTGCTCCCGCTTTTATCGCGCGCTTGAAGGTGATCGCGTGGACTTGGGTACTTCGCATGTGGGGTCCCGTCCATTTCGGTAATTCGTGATGTTGTCCATCGACCTTGATGCTGCAGCTGCCCGTCGTCCAGTCGATTCTCGGGTTGTACTGTCGCAGCCAATCCCGTCCCAGCAGCACGTCGCACCCATCGAGTGTAATCGCCAGCAGCCCCATCCGAAATTTTACGTGCTTGCCGCAGTGGAAACTGACGTGCTCCACCCGCTCCCGTATAGCCAGTGGTGTACCATCCACCAATCTTGCGTCGATTTCGGGTAGACACTTTAATAAAGGGATACCCATTTTTTTAGCCCTGTCGAGTTGTATGAGACTGTGACTCGCGCCTCCATCCACGAATATTTTCAGCAACACCCCGTTGACTTTTCCCTCCACCAACACAGGTTGATCAGCAGTTTCGTCCCCCTTATTCGTCCGGGTCCGGTCGATTGCAGCAATCGGGATCACGACCCGGTGGGGACTGTGTGGTGCGGGCGAAGAAGCCTGCCCGTCAGTAAGGGGCCCGGTACTTACTGACGCGACCCATTCCCGGTCGCTCCTCCGGCTTCTTCCCCATAGAATTCTGGATGGCGATGAATTCTGGGCAGTTACGTTTGATGTGACCCGGTCGGCCACAGTGGTAGCATAGCCCCGTATTTCGCGGAGCAACTGCGTAAATATCCACTGCGTCCATCCCTTTTATCGTAGCGCGCTGGTACTGTTCTCGAAAACAACCTCCGTCGTAGAAGTTCGTTCTCGGCTTCGTGAGCGAATCAGCGGCTTCGGCGAGTTGGATGAAGTCCTGTAACCGCTTCGCAGGTCGTTGTAATTTTATTTGGTACTGTATTTCAGGCTTCAGCCCGCCCATGTACCTGTCGACCTTCTCCAACTCGTGTATGTAGCCACATCGATCCACCAACGTCAGGAATGACGCGGTGTAGTCAGACACAGTTCCCAGCTGCTTCCACATGCGTAAAGTTTCGCGCGCCTTGTCTGAGTCAGGAGCATGCTCAAACCGCTTGCGAAGCTCTGCGCACCACGTTGCCCACGTGCGAATGTGGGTTGCACCAAACAGTAAGTCTGCTTCGTCTTCGTCGCCGAATTCTTCGGACCACTCATGCTGTCCTTCTGTGCGAGTTGCCGCTGAGTCGATGATGACCTTCCACAACTGTAGGGCGGCCCCTTGCAGCAGTGTCAACGCGTGGCTGATCCGCTTCTGGTCGTCTCGGATGCCCGCCGCGTTAAAATAGATATTCATGGCGAATATCCACTGCCGCACCGTCACGCCTTTATTAGCTGGGTCGAAAGGAGCGGGTTGCTGATATCTCACGCCGCCACTTGTCGAGCGCGGGGCTGTCGCCGCTAGCCGTGCCAGCTCCACTGGTGTCGGTTGCTGCTCACCCGCCTCGCTTCGTGCATCGTCGCCCGGCTCTTCTGAACGCCTTTCCTGCGCCTGGCGAAGTCGTTGGTTTTCGTCACGGAGGTTGTTGACGACGCTTGTCAAATTATTCAGCTGCTCCATTAATGCTTGCAGGTCTACTGTTTCCTGGGCAGTGTTCGCAGCAGTCGAGGTTGTCTGTTCCTCAACCGTCGAATCTACCGGGGCCATGGCGGTCAGGACGGGGCAGAAACTAGCGCACACGCTGTAGTTGTTGACGTAAAAATATTTATGATCAAAGGCAACTGCTGTGCAGCCGTGTTAATCCCCTCTGACCACCCTTAACGAACTAACGGGGAAAACGGAAGGTTCCGAGAAA